ATCACAATTTAAAGTTTAGTACACTATCCCTTGAAAAATGTATGTAATATTCTAAATAAATTCAGAATATAAGTTAAAAACACTTTATTTTTAAACTTCGCTACGCCACCCAGGCACCCGCAATTGATTGTTTGTTTACAATCAATGCCCGTGCCCCATAGCTTTTGTTTAAACAACGCCAATTGCTTTGGCGAAAAAGTTTGGTCACACAATCAATATAGGGTTATAAGAAGATTGATGGATAAAAGCTAGCGTCAAGCTCACTCCGCCCAGTTACCAATTCCTAAATTGACCAAATATCGAGTGCTTGACGTAACAGATATAGAAATAGAATTTGATACCATAAAAAATTATATAGAAATAGAAATTGATACCATAAAAAATTTATTCGTTTTCGTGTTCTTTTCATATATTTAGCATTTTAGTTTTTTTTTCTTAAGCGTTGTAGCTATATAATTTCAAACATCCTCAAGAGCTATAACACATCTGCAGCAGAACTGGATATGAAGACAAAATTGCTGGACAGGAACACTTTAATTGTCCACTAATCTTCAGATTTCCTGCTATGTTTTAAAAAACTTTATTTGTGAAAACCTTCAGAGTGGCGGACAGCTGGCCGCCTTAGGTGGCTAGTAATAAATAAATGCGGCATATGTACCTGAAGTTGCCTCTGCATTTCTGGAATCCTTTCTGGAATAAGATGCATTAAAAAGAATTTTAAAAAAGTTGGAAAAAAAAATAAAAATGTTGACCAGATTTTCACCTGAGCAATTTAAAGAGCTATTTTGGTTCATTTAGCCGATAATGTTAACGTTATTCAATTGGTTAACACTCCATTCTTTAGATGAAGTTGAAATTAAAAAAGTCACTGACTAAGTTTAATCAAAGTTATTTTCAATTATACGCTTTTAGCAATTTTTTTTTGTTATTAGAATAAGCGTAACGTTCAAAATTCAAGAGGAAACTGGATTCATAAAGTTATGGTGATAGAAAATAATAAAAAAAATGTTTTCAAACGTCGGCATGATGACACTTGTTTTCTAAATGAGAAGGCAGTCCCGCAGTGAACTGATCGTAATGACACGGTACCCAGTAGAGCACCGAAGACAAGCATCACTGCCTGCTTTCAGTAAGCGGGTGGGCGACCACTTTGATCAGCCTATGTATGGACCGAGGATGCGCAGTATCGGTCCGAGTTAAACTGTTCTACCGTAAAGTGCTCGACATCGCACGCAGGTCACCAGGCTACCAAAGCGGAGGAGCCATCCTCTCTGGAGAGGATCAAAACTTTGATGGCTTGTCTTCGGATCATCCTCGGGGATGTTTCCCAGACCGTCGCCAATAGCCCATTGTGCAACTCTAGTGCAACGTAAATAAAATACCTAGCTACCTAAATGAGAAGGCAGTATTTTAAGGTACCGTTACGCTGCATACTAAAAATTCGCGAATACGACTGAGAACCTGCTGGTGGAAAACATTGACCTGCGGAAAACTCGCAAGCGGAAAAAGAAAAAAATCAAATTTAGTGAGAATAACCCTTCAGAGCCAATATCTGAATCAGTCTAAATAAAATATTAACTGCAACTTTGATTCAACTTGAGTTTACAAATTCCTAAATTAGTTTTAGTTTCTCGAAAATAGTTTAATTTCAACTATTAACTAAAATATAACTGATTACTTTCACTCTATAACATTAATGTTATTTTTTAAAAACTTATTTTCTTAATCAGCTCGTAATCAAAAATCAGAGTTAAATGCTTCGTCGTATCTTATAAATATTTCTCTTTTCGTCTGCTCATAGTAAGATGTTTTTCTTCCTTTTTTTTTGCCCTTTTCTAAATGATTATAAAACTCATTTGTTGTTTTTGTGAAATACGAATGTTAATTATATATTAATTTACTTTAGCACAATGTCCGTTACGGTTCATCAGATTTTGAACGATGCAAAGCGACTTGTCAATCGTCTTCGAGAGCACGAATCAAGTGCGGACAATATTATTCAGCAAACACAAACTCTTTATAAAAATATAGATGCCATGAAAGAAGTGAGATATATTTAAATTAATCATATAAATTATAATTTATTATATTTTATCTGGATATGTTTTGGTATCGTAATGTCACGCTCCATTTACCTTTGTGTTTCCGTATTATTTTTACTCCAAAGTTTACCACGTAGAATTTAACAAGCATTGTTGACTATTGCTCATCATCGAATTTATTAAGCGTTGAAATAACTTCTGGTAGTATATTGAAACAACTTCTCATTTATTTAAAAAATTTAATTATATTTTTAAAAAATATTTGTGTTCTAACCTAATTGACTTTTTATATGTGTGTCCTTAAATGAATTGAATATGTATTTGCATTATTTTTTTATGTGTTTTTGTTAAAATAATATAAGCTAAGTAGAGTCTAATTTTATGTGTGCGTTTCCTTTTTAAATAGCATATAAAATGACGAACAGCAGAATTTGTTTACGAATATTCTAAATAATAACAAAAACAGCTAAATTTATTTATGTTTTGTTCATTTTGTTTTATTATGTTATTTAATTATTGAACTTGTTTTTTTTTAAAGTATAAATTACATTAATTATTTAATAATCAATTAGTAATAAGCTATTAAATTATTTCTAGGAATATTAATTTGTTTATTAATATTGTGTAATAAGTCCTTATTATCTAACCCCTTTTTAGTACGAGTATAGTAAAAATTTAAATCTTTGTAGCAATGTAGTAAATTAAAAAACACAATCCTGTAATTAAATTGTGGAATTGTGCAGATGATTCTTTCGGTAAATCCTTAAAAAAGTATTAAAAATAAAACGAAAATTATTGAGAGTAATTTAAAATAAACAATAATCTAAAATCATAAGCTTAAATAATTTATTTAAGCATAAATAAAGTTACTATTAATAGTCAAATTAATATTTGTCTCTTAGTAAAAAATGTTTTGAGTTTTAAAGATTTATATAATAAGTCAGAACTATTCCATTATATTATAATGTAAAATTAGATTGTTTTGAAAAATATTAAAATAAACTGAAACAAAGGTTCTGTGTAGTTCAATAGTACAATTTTATAACAGCAAATTAAATAATTAAACAACTCTGCCAAGTAAATAAGTAAACAAAGTAAGATATTAGGATTAATTCAATCTTTATTTAATTATAAATCTTAATATTTCAAATACACTCCAGGATTGTTACATAAAAACTCCTAGTCGAGTCTAAAATTTGTAGGCAAATGCGATATATTTATAAATGTATACATTAATGATATATATTAAATAAAAACATGTTAAAAATAAAAAAAAAGAGGTAAATATGTTTATTTTAGTTTTTCTATTGCTATTTTAACATTAGTTATGTGCATTTGCTAACAACAAAAAAATTACTCTAATGACAATTTCAGTTGCAATTTTAAGTTGTCACTGTATTAGACTTTTACTGTATTCAGTAAACTTTATCACAAATTATAATTTTTGTATATAATGTTGTTTTATATTTCATATATAATTTTTGTGAGAAAATTTTCTATCATTTTTTTTGTACTAATAGTATTACGCCGTAATTTATCTCATATCATATATTTTTTTAGTATAACGAAGAAGTGAATGATCAAAATATGGCTAACCAGGTGCGACCACCAATTGTTTTTAATGCACAACAGGAAAATAAACATATAAAAGATCTACTACAGGAAAACAAAGAACTCAGGGATATGCTAGAAGAACATCAATCAGTATTGGAATTAATTATGAGCAAATATAGGCAACAGGTTACAGAATTAGTAAATTCTTGCTCACTCAAAAATGATGGCAGCTATATGAATAATTCTCAGGTGAGTTAAACTGTTCATAAAATGGATAAAAAATTTTTAGAAGCTGTTAGAATTACTAAACTTAATAATTATCATTTTTAAATAGATTTCTTTATTTCACAAGTTGTGTCAATCTAAATTTAGGCACTTTAATTCATAACCAATTTTATGTTATATGTTAAGCTTCTCTTGTTTGTCATGTTCAAGCCGAAGAGCCAAATAGTGTAAAACTAGAGCCTTACATGTAACTTTTTGTGAGGCTCTTAGCCATTGTTTATCAAAGTGGATGGAGTTCGAAAAAACCTGTCCAGGTTTTCTTCTTCCATTTGAGAAAGCCCACTTTTTCCGAGGTGGGTTTTTTCAAAATTTACAGCACTATCTCAATAGGTTTTAATTTGAAAAGCAAAGTAATTATAAAGTGTATTTTAATTAAAACTTCCAAATAATTAAAGATAAATTAACTTCATGCATTAATTGAAATGCATCCCTCTTGTTTTAAGAGCGTATTAATGTTCCTTTAATTAAGATGGAAAAGTAAAGTATCTGTTCTTTTTAAGAACAGATATTAAATCCATCTGAAAATTATTGTTTTTATTAATCAGAATTTCACTACGAACTTAGATGTTGATATATAATTAGGTAGAATTTTTGCATTTTCTGAAATATCTATTCTAAGCAGAGTGCAGTGATTAAAATTAAATCAATTTCCTCCATTTATGAAAAATTATCTGTTTTTGTGAAATATTCAGCATTGTTGAAAAACGAATCAGCCGTTTTTAGAAATTTTGTCCATCAAAAAATGCATGTCGCATCTCCACAGTCTATGTTTTTATGCCCAAAATTTCACTTGATATAATTTAAATGAGCCATTTAATTTCAACTATTCATTTTTGTTTCACTAAAGCTGAATTAAAAAAAAACTCTCATGCAAAATTAAAATATAAAACTAAATCAAAAATGACTGAAGTATCTTTGGGGGGGAGGGGGGGGTGTTGTTTTGTCCAGCCTGATAATATGAACACAAATTTAGCAAGTTAAGCCATAAATTTTATAGTTATCAGAAGTTGTGATCAAACAGCATGTTTCTTGCTGCTGTTAAATATTGCTTTAGATATTGTTTTAATTATCTGCCATATGAAGTAACTTTTTTTTTTGTTGCCTTTTAAGGGTTCATGCTGCCTACTTTAAAGAATACGGATTGTAAAAACAATTTAAAACTTTCCCATCTTTCAATGTTTTTCTTTTATGCTCTTCAAATAAAATTTTTTTATGAATGTTGGACTGAACTTTGCTAGGCTTTATAACTTAACACATTTACTTTTTGGTTTAAGCTTATGATCAAACCTATGTGGTTAAGATCATAACCATTGACATTTGGAAAATTAAGACTTGAAAATCAAGAGAATTTACTAACTTAGGGTTGCCACTCCACCGGGAGAACAGGGAAAACTTGGAATATATAGGGAATTTAAAAATCACCTAAAATAACAGGGAAAATGCAGGGAATTTTGATCTATGGGATATTTAACCATATTTCAGCTATACTAAACTATTTCACTTATTATAGCATTATTTAAGTATGCTCAGCTGTTTTTCCAGCAATTAAAACTAATATAGTTATCCCAATATAGCTCACACAAGAGCACAGTAATTGTTCTTTCTTCTTAATATATTGCGTATAATATGTACAGGGAAAACACAGGGAATTTTTTTTTCAGATTTGAGTGGCAACCCTGTAATTTGCTAAGATCTTAAGAAATTTGTTCAGCTTATTTAAATTCACAACCTATGCATACTTTTATTTTTTACTTATTAATGTTTATGACATAGTGTAGTTTTTAAAATGTATCTAATAATAGTTATTAATTGCAGAATTCTACTTTTAAGTTTTATCATATCTTAAGAAAAACATTCTTAATGTCAATATAAAAATACTCATAAACTAAGTTATTCAAATATTTTAATTTATGCCATGACGAATGCATTGATATTTTTCAGGAACTGCAAAAAATGGCCGATAATATTTGTGAAATAGCAGATGTTATGAAGCAAGCTGTGAAGATTGATGATGTTAGTTATATTAATGAAATTGAAAAGCTGACTGAACTGGTAACAGAAAACTATGGTTTGCGAGAACTACTCGACATAAGTAAAACTTTTGGATCTTTGCATAACCCACTAAATACACCTGAAATGAGTGATAAAGAAATTCAAACTGATGTTTAAATATACATTTATTGTAGACAAATAAGTGTATTGCAATATATTATAATGTATAATCAAGTACAGCTATATATTCTTGTGCACTGGTTTGTTCAAATGAGGGTTGTGTTTTTCCTTGAAATATAACTTGTTCATGATCATATTTTTATAATAAGGTTATTTTGTTACACAGACTAAATAAATAAACAAATTTGAGGTTGTATTCCTTCAGTCCCATCTTTAAAATTTTAACACCCAGTTCAAAGTGTTGATTAGAATTTAAAAAAAAGTGCATACTGCTTTCCATTAATATTGAATACAAATAGGAATATCATAAGATATTCTTATAAATAGTCAAAATTATTAAAACTTCACAATTGTTTACTTTGTTTTAAGATTTTTGAGTCAGTTACATACAAGAAAAGAAGTTAAACCCCAATTAGAAAAACTTTTAAAAATGAAATTAAAGGTCTTAATTATTGCAATAAAATTTAGAATTTTTTTGATTGTTTTCATATGAAACACTTCTTATTTTATCAATTTTACTAGTTAAATGCTGAATAAAATTTAGATAAATTTTTCGGAAGCAAAAAATTTGAAAGCTTTTAAAAATTTTAATATGCTAAAAATAAAATTTAATGCAAAAAATGATAGATTATTTTATCTAATAGTTGCCTTCTCATAATTTAATTTACTATTAATACTAAATAAGCATTAGAATCATATCTATTCAAGAAAATAACATTAAGTCATACTTTTCAATCATTTTGTAAGTTACACATAGGCTCTAAAAATTCCAACTGTTTTCATGTTTTTAAAAATTTTTACTATTCTGCATTTTATAATTTTTACTGAATTACCATGTTTAGGTAAAAAAAAAAGTTTTGTTACAAAATTGTTTACTTTTTACATACATAATGACTTAATTTATATTAAAATATTCTTGACAATTTTGTGACACAATGGTTTGACTAAACTCGAACATATACAGAATATAAAAATAACGAAACTTTACACAATTTTGAAAACTTCTTCTACTCGCGTGTTTTAATAATTAATATTCTATAAATATAAATTTTTACCAGAAAATTTCTAAAGTTTTCTAATATTGATGATATATTATTAGTTGTATTATAAAATTTTGATTACTGGAATTTGGATGTATTTTAAAATTGTAATGAATAAATTTGGTTTAATCTTTTAAAAAATTTTAATATACTTTAAGTTAACAACTATAATTTTATTTTATCACTCAATTATAAATGATATAGCTTACATTTTAAATGAAGTACTAGAAATGTAGCAACAATCAAATTTGGTTCCGAATTATAAAAACAGCTGTAGTTACTTTTATTGTCACTGTAGTTACGTGTTCATTTTGTTTAGGGATACATGTACAATAATAAATATTTTGAAAAAAAAAATGCTCATATATTAGTTGTTAAAATTGTGATTGTATAATAAAATTATTTTAAATGAATTCTTAATATTTTTTTCATACACATACATTAGTATTAGATTTTAAAATAGTATATCACCATTTTTGATTTTAGTTCACGATTATGTTAACTTAGTTATTAATTATGTTAGGTATGTTTAGTTTTTATTATTATGTTCATTTAAGAATTATCTTAATTTCAGTGCTTATTGAATACTAAAAAATTTGCTGAACAAGCATAAATTCATAGCCGTTTTGTATTGCTTGATTACATTTTGTTGTAGTTCTATTTGTTATGAATGTGTGAACATTTTTTAATTTTATCTTTTTCAAATAAGTTGCAGACAATCTTACAATTTCTTTTCTTTATACTCTCTTTTTATGATTCATTTCTCTGATAAGAGTAAAATAGATTTTATTTATTCCATTTCTAACTTGCAGATCTTTTTAAAATTTTTTCTGTTTAAAATGCATGCTTTATATATGATATGGGGTGATATCAATCACTTTCATGTGGTCTCCCTTGTTTCTACTAAATGACAGATAATTTATCACTTCTTAAGCAGCTTCAAAGATGGATGAACTGAGTAGTAAATTTGATTGGGTGATGAGTACAAGTTTTTGAAGGTATGTTTTTTGATACATTATTATGCATAATGTCCCTTGAAGAAAAATAGTAATCTTTAGCTGATGAGTAATCCTCAACATCAGATATGGAAACACTTCCCGACTCTCAGATGATTTTTCCTGAATTTCTGATATTCCGCTTTTTAAACGTGTCTAACCTGCCATTCGCGCACATAAAAGTAGTCTCATAAAATCGCTTTGTAAATTCATCGGCATTTGTCCAGATACTGGAAGATTGCGCTTCTTCGATTGGTGAACCACTTCAGTAATGCTTCTTCACCATCCTTGTGATCTGCTTTTCTTAACTTTCTCTGCCATTTAAATTTTTTTCATGAGCAGAAATTATTAATTGCGTATTTTTCCATAGGTTATAAACTGCATATTTGGATAGTTTATATTCCCTGCAAATATCAGCTTGATTGCATCCTTTTTCAATTTTTCTGATTAGGCCCATTTTATCATCAATGGCGAACGTTTTACGCTTACTGCTCTCCATAGTTACATTTGAGACACTTGTTTGCAGGCTTTTTTAAAAAACTGAACTGAGAGCAAAAAGGAGTTGAAATGAGAGCCTTATCCACACGTATTAGTGTCCAACCCTTTGACCAATAAGGAATAATTACTCATTCCCTCTGACAGAAAATGCATATTGATCGCACTGACACCTTACAGGTGCATCCAGAGCTGGATTATACCTTTCGGGGCCCTTCCCTCCTTCCCCCACTCCTCCCCTCTTTTCAAAATATATGCTATAATTTTCTTGCATATTTTTTTTTACATTTTTCTTAATATGGATTTTAATTTACAAATTTGTTTATCGAACTTTATCTGCAATACCGACATACTGCCGATATTGCAGTTGATATCGATAATATGTACCATTATGATTAGTTCGATCGATAACTATGTAAAGGTAAACACTTCACGTCAACAATACAACAACAAACCAGCAAAGAAAACAGTGAAATTGATAGTGAGATTAATTACAAGAAATATTTATACTACAAATAGCTTCATAGTTTTCATGATACTTAGTTATGATAACTAAGTGAAGGAAATTAACATTGTCAAAAGTAAATCTTTTGAAATTATTTATAAATAAATTTGCAAGGTAGGTTAAATGTTTACTAATAGAAAAAAAAATGATTTAATACTATTTTATTAAAATGTTAGTCACGTTTTGTCAGGAAAGTACTACGCCATTTTAGATGTATTAGTAATTTCAGAAATGACTAAAAGGTGTAAAGTTTACAGTGATTTGTACGATAATTTCGGTTTTCTTGTTCACAAAAATCTGTCAGAATCTGAGATTAAACTAGAAGTGCAAAATTTGGTGAAAATTTACTCATCCAATTTAGAGGAAAACTTTGTAGATGAATTTTTACTATTTTCAAATTTGTATCAACATAAATCTGCACAAGAAATGTTGAAGGCTCAAATTAAAGATAAACTTGTGATTACTTTTCCTAACGTTCACATTGCATTAAGAATATATTTGTCGATTCTTGGATCAAATGCAGAAGGAGAAAGATCTTTCTCCAGATTAAAATTGATAANCCCCCTTAGAGTACGTACATTTTATTAGTCTACCCCCCTTTTTCATAAAAATTAAAATAATTATGTTTTAAATAAAATTAAATATTTACTTAAGGAGGGTGTAGGATAAAGTCAAATTTAAATTTGGTGTATGTTTATAAAGTACGTACTTTGTATAATACCTCCCCCCCTCCCCATCGTACAAAACCGTACATAATAGCAAATCCCCTCCCCCCTTCGGGATGTACGTACTTTTTGAACGGCCCCCAACAATGAATCAAGATCGTTTGGCATCACTCGCACTTATGTCTATTGAATACGACATTTTGCGTAGTTTGGAATTCGACAGCATAATACAAGATTTCGTTGAATCCAAAAAAGTAATATATTAGATCATAAGATTATGCAAAATAATTTATTACCGAAAAATATTATATTTTTATTTGTATCTTCATTTTTTTGTGCAAAATACACTTGTTGTTTTTAAAGCTAAATTATTTTTGTCAGCAATTTTTTCTCTCAAGTTTTTCGTAGGCCCTAGACACGTGCCTAGTGTGCCTATAGGTTAATCCGGCCCTGGGTGCATCATCTGCCTGGTTGGAAACATCTACTTGGTTTGTTTAGGGATGGGAATGTGAGATAAAAGAAGCAAACAAGAAAAAATGCTTATTGCTTAATTCCCCTCTATCGATGGTTTCAGGAATCGGTATATGCACTTATTTTGAAGTAGAAATTTCAAANACAGAGTGAGACTCCATCAAAAAAAAAAAAAAAAAAAAAATGAAAAGAAAATCAGTCAAAGACAGAAAAAAGTTCATTATATCCATAAAAAATAACATTATACGTGTATAGCAAGGCACGGGACCGAACATTTCGTTCACTATATCCGGGAGTTCACTATAAACCGTGTTCACTACAGCGGGGTTTGACTGTATTTATATATGTTTGTCTTACGGGGCACCAAAATCGTAGGTATATCTCTAAGTTGGCAACAACTTATGTCACATAGTTTCATAACTCGGTTTTCACATTCTATAACTCATAGTTATTTCATTTATATTATATTGAACATTATTACTTTTTATATTATATTGAGCTTTTAGTTTACACTACTGTTTATTTTTCCTTTTTATAGATATAAGTTGATGATTCACATAGGAAATATCTTAAAATAAATGACATAGATTTTCATTATTTAATTTATTAAATAATTGTTTACTTATAAATTGTTTTAATTAATTTATTTCATTTTATCTAATTTTCTAAAGCTTAAGATATTGATTTGAAAAGCAAATGTTATTTGTCTATTAAATGACATAGACTAGCTTAATTCGCTTTGCTAACATTGATTCCTTATACAATTTTAAGTTTTGAAACATGTGTTATTAAAATATATTTGTGTTATTAAAATATATTAATTTACGTTATTAGGTTAGATGTATCTTAGTAAAATGCTGAAAAAAGAGTTAGCAATTGTGAGATATTTATGACAAAATTTCACATTTGGGTTAGCATTATGGGTAAGATTCTTTTTTTTCCAGAAGTTATCCAAGTTCACCTTCCACAGTAATTAAAATTAGAATTCTAACTAAAGAATGAAGATAGATGCATAGACCAAACAGTATATACGTCAGTAAAACTTTATTTATCAAATAAAAAAAAATCAAAACATTTTCGTATCTATACAATGTTTTCTTTCTTCCTGACTTAACTAGTAATATTAATGTTTAAAGTTATCAAAATTATTTTAGGTCATAACATGATATCAGATTATACATATCAAAACAGTAATAATGCAGGAATTACAACAACAAACTTTGTCAAGAACTCAAAATTTTGATTTAAAACCAATTTCTATTAAAATCTTTCAAACGAAATTGGGGAAAAAAGTGATAACTTACTAGTTTTAACGAAATTTTATTTTTATAAGTTAATTTATTAATTGATTAATGTTCTTCAAACATGAGATTCACCAAACTAAAATTTTTTTTTCAATAGTTGCCTCATAAATCTACAAAATATAGATTATTCTAATGAATTCAAAATATCTACTTATTGCAGCCTTTATCACCTTATGGAATACTCTTTAAAAGAGTCATATAACAGGAAGACAGATAGTAACATTCACAAATTAAGTGTTAAAAGGTGTTGAGTGAAAACTTACACCTTACATTATTTCTTCTCATATGCTGCATTTAATATGTAATTTAATACACATGAAAGAGTAAAAACGACATAGTAAATAGTTATTATGAATAACAGGGATGCCAACATTAGGAGGTATTTAGTATATCATAAACAAAAAGGAAGATTAATTTTTCTTTACCTTCTAACAAAATCATAAGATTTATATGATTGTATTAGTATGTAATTGTGAAAATCGTTAGAGCTGTTATTGCAACTGATAAAAAAAAAATCATTTAGTTTATTCTAGGCAAATTTATGAAATTGCTTTAAACAAAGTGCATATTTTTTTTTAAAGATCTCTATCAATTTCAATCAAAATATTTGCAGATGATTCTGTAACATATCATTCTCACGAATATAGTGTTTATTTTGACCATTGAGTAGGTATATTTTTATTTAAAGTAAAACAAATGACCAAATCAAACTAGAAAGTTTACTGTTTTTGGTATTTTGACAAGGTAAGATGGAACGAAAGACAAGGTAAGATGGAACGAAATAAAAATTTAAAATAAATTAGTAGTAGTACTTCAATTAGTAAGTAGTTTATTCTTTACTTTTTGAGATGTCTAGTACTAAATAATTACTTTTTTTATTTGTTGGTTTTATAAATTAAAATTTTTTATTATAAAACCATTAATTTCAGTTCAAAAAGGGAATGAGTGAAAAAATTTAAATCTAAAAAATAAAGTTTTTTTTAAAAATTTTATTACACTTTATTATATAACGATAAAAAGTTAATGATTCTTAAATATAAGATTATTAGTTATAATAATTGCCTCAATAATAAAATTATAAGTTTTTATTTATATTTTATTTTAATATATATAATATATATGTATAGTTATATCTTAATTAGAAGTTTGATATAATCGTTTTTATTTTCTAATCTGGATAAAATTTATTATTAAACGCTGTAAACAGGTTATAAAGGTCTTCTTTATAAACGAAGAAAAAAAATCACTGTCAGTTTTTAAAATAATGAATAGACAGTAGTTTACCATTATCAAGCACCAAGGTTTTTTTCACAAAAATTTACAATTAATGATTTAGTTAACATCGATTATTTTAGCATTAGTATTTTACAATCCATTTCAATGTTTTAATTCACCGTCATAGAAATAAAAAAGCCTAAGAGTATAATAATTTGAAGACCAGGTAATTTTTATCCATCATAAGGTGCTCTGATTTAAATTGTAATAGTGTAGCAAGCACTGTTACAACTTAAGTGTGATTTTAATTGCCATGTACAAAGGAATCAATAATTTCTTAATTCTTGTTGAACATACATAATTCAGTGTTGGAAATATTTCTAAGAAAAAAACGCTATTTAATTCCACGAACCTGTGGTCTTTTTATAATATTGATATTTTGTACCATTTTCAAAAATAGTATACAGGGCACTGATATTAAAGAAGTGCAAAGTATTAACATTGCTTTTCAAAGCTTTGTCACCAAGGAAAATAAAAAAAAGCCACAGTTTAAGTGCCTTACGCTTGAAGCAATGTGATGATTTTCCAACTATATATATCATCTTGCACGAAGAATTATCTGGGCTTTAGAATGGTCAAATAACTTTTTCCATCTAGATGAAAATTATCAAAATCACAGCCTCATTCTCAGTCAGCACAGCATTGGAGTAAGTTAATATTAAAAAATTAGACCACAAACGCTTTTCATTTTCACAAAACTATGGCTTTTCTACCATATTGACGTTTTGCGTTATTTTCAAAATAAGCTTAGACAGCGATGACCTAAGATTGGCTAAACTTTAGTGGTGGTTGCAATCTCGCAGCAGTTATAAAAATATATTATTCACAAAAAAAGCACTTCATATGACGATGGAGCCTTCGAAAAATTTCCTTAACCTAACAATCCTGGAGAACTGTTACGAATTTCCAACAGTAAAAAAGCATTATTTCATGTGACGGCAGAGCCTTAAAACCAAGTAATTGTATTATAATTAGTTTTAAATGCAATAACTAAAATTTTATTATATAAATGCTAAAATTCAGCAAGTATTTCCATATGCAAAATATTAAATAAAAAGTATCTTGTAAAACAACTCATGATTATTTATTTTATTTTTAGAATTCTTAACCAAGTCTATTATATTTTCCAAATTCATCTAACAATTGGAAGTTAAAATTCAAAACATTTGGTTGGCATCCCTATAATGACAATCTTTTGTAATATTTCAGTAAAAAACACCTTTTACAAAGATATCTTTGATTAAAAAACATAAATAAAAGCAAAATTTCTATCCTATACTTATGAAAGAAAAAGAGAAACTCTTGCATCAAATGATGAATAGTTTGTACTGATGAATTGAAAGTTTAAACTCTGAACAGTTGTTTTGTTCATCATGAAGGAAAATCGTCCACGCAAATTACGTACAGAATTAAAAAAGTAATGGCGGCAGAAAATGTGCCACACTAGGAATAAAAAATTCATCTTATCAAAACTTGTAATAAAAACAAATAGCTGAGTATACTTGGACCCTTCTAACTTTACTCTCGAGAGCTTTTCTTATGCATTATTCAAAAGGCATTCATTCAGAATACTACAGCTAATTTGTGCAATAAAATGTTTCTATCTAACTCCAAAAGTTATAAAAAATTAACCGAAAAAGTTAGTTTTATGAAATAGAAAATTAAAGAAATTAGTTTGTAATGATAAAAATAGCATCCCTTGCAAAAAAAAAAGTTATATATATTTGATTATTATAAGTGTGTTAGGTGACGATTCTGCTAAAACTATAGAGTAATGATTCTATTAATAAAGTGAAACTGTCAATTTTTTTTAGAATCACAAAATTTTAAATTAATATAAATTTCAGTAGCACCACTTTTGAAATACAAATTTCTGAATTTCATTAAATAGTTTTTTTTATCTCGACCTTGACGTAAAGAAACTAGTTAGAATGGGAAAAAATACACTCCTCATATAAATTTTGTGATTTTTTTTTACACATACAAGATTTGATATCAGTAATTTATGATGAATTTTAAATATTTTATTAAATTAAAAAAAATTGCAATATTTGTGAATATTATTTAAAAGGTACAATGATAAATTAGTTTATGGTCAATATCTATTAACATTCAGATTTCTGAGATTATTTAATCAAGCCTAACTTTGTGACTTTTACTTGTTTAAATATGTAAGTTAAATCAATAGCTATTTTAATTTTCAGGACATAAAAACAAATGAGAACATAAAAATATGTTTAAAAATTTCAAAATGTTATTGTTGACAAATTAGAGAGGGGTTTTCTCGTGTTTCCTGTAGTAATGTTAAAAAAATTATCCGAAGTATAAACGCATATGTAGTTCTATTTTTAAAAACTATCCTGAGCTTAATTAGTTAAAACTTTAGGTACTACAAATGTGAAGAACTTAAAATTGGAGTTAACTCCAATGAATTAATACCACATTAATGTTCATAAATGAAAAATTACAATAAGCAAGTTTTTAGAATTCATATAGCTCTTTTTCAGTAATAAATTAAAAATACTAAACTCTAGCATGTTTCCATCAAGTTTTTGTAAATATAATGTCCGCAAGAATAAGTTTTTCACTTCCAGAAAGCTCTAGAATGCAAAATCAGATAAAATTTGAACTAGAGATGAATCAAATGATACGCTTGATAATTAAAAAAAAAAAAATCGGTATAAAATTTCACTAGCAGATGGATCTGTTGAACAAACAGTATTTACTTTTATTGAAAATGTGAAACTTTTGTATATTACAATGCAAGCCTATTAACAACATTTAATGTGCAATAATCAAGGATAATATATATCCTTAAAAGCCAGCAACTGTGTTGGTGCCATGTTCTTGATATTCCAGCAGACTCGCTCTGGCCAGCTATGGAAAATATTATTTTGCACTAAAACATGCGTGATGAACATGTTGGAGAAAATAGTCAGTAGTTTTAATTCAACTTTCTCATGTTCAACTAAAGCTAATATTTAAAGTTTTCATAACAGATTCATCTGCATCTGTTGGTACAATTTTGAAGTAAAATATTTCATTTAGTATATGTAAGTGCATCTTTGAAGTATTTGTAGTTCAAATTTTATCTCATTTGGACTGATAGACTCTATTCTAGAGTCCTCTGATGTGAGAAATTTATTTCTTGCTTAATCTATATATATTTTAAATATTGCAAGCAATAAAATTAAATAGTTTGACTCATTGTCAGTGTTATGTTTTACTTTTTTTTTAAAAATAATGATTAAAGCAACAATAGATAAACTACATTATATAGAAAGTGTTTAATAAATAATACCTGTTTCTGTAAGGTAAGGTTAAAAAAGGTTTGAACAACAGAAAAGCAAGATTTCATGTTAAAAAAAATCTACAAAAATTTCCAACCCATTTTTCAAATAATATAAGTATTAACTCAAAATTCTTATCCATCTGATTTAAGTTTTTTAAACAATAAAGAAAAACCAATAATTTGTTATTCACTATTCCTTATCACAGATAACATTGGTATTGAATATACTTAAAACAAGGTTTAAAAAGCAAAACCATATTACTATACAATTTCTGTTCCATAACATTCAGTCTAGATGAAGTGATATTTTACGTACTACTGGTTTTAACATTTTGATTTTAAGAATATATTTTCCAGTACTATAATTTACATGTTATTTTATAATTAACTTGATGTAATTCGAATGCAAAATTATAACAGATTATAGGCAAATCTACGAAAAATAATTAAAAAATTCTATAAAAACAAGATATTGTTTTTACAACTTAAAAGACAAAGGGGATAATTTGATGAAGAAATAACATAATTGATATCAGAATGTGAGGGAAAGTAAATTTTTACAAAATCCAACAAATTAGCCACACTTCAAATTCTGAAATCTACAACAAGAAAAATGCACATGTTTTAAATGAAAGGCATTTGTACAAATGTGCTTCTATTTTACAAGGTGAGCTTTCAACAAGTTTTTCTGTATGTACATGAAAAGTAATCTACATTTTTATTTTGTAACTTTATATAATAAATTAACCACAACATATGCACATTTAAGTGATATCTTCCATCAAACTAAGCGATCCCCTTGCACATTATGATGAGTACCCACAGTATGAACTGCATGCTTATGAGCCTATAAAGGAAAAAAAAAATAAATGTTGCAAGAAGGAATGTTATACATCATTTGGAGAAATTAACGTTAAGAGAATTGAAGGGTAAGATAAGGTAGCACTGCAAGGCTAGCTACATGATCTTACCATCTTGGTCTTTCGCCAGACAAAGTACTAAAATTTCTTCATAATTCCAAAATAAAGTTTTAAGAGTTTTACAGACTTTTGTGATTAACTAATGTGAATTTAATTGTAATTTAAAAACTTATATACATAACCATATTTACTAAGATTTAACGATTTCTAGATATTTAATCATAACTCTACTAAAGCTACTCAAGTACAGGCTATTAACTACTTTAGGAAATTATACAAAAAAGTTAATATTATGCGAGAAATTAATCAGATTACCATCAACAGACTTGTGGCGAAACTCTGATATCTTTAGACCACAAAGATTGAAAACTCAAATTTTTGGCTAAAGTTTTAAAACTGAAACCTGATTAAGCATTTCTGGATGTTCCCATAGAAAAACTTAATAAAACTATCAAATCCTGCACTAATAGAATCTATAAGAAATTAATTTTATTTGATGGACATCATCAAGCAAAGCTGAACAAAATGCAGCTACTATGGAGCCAATTTATTATCCAAAGAGTAACTAGCTTCATATTATTTACTAATGGATTTAAAATAGTTGACAAAGTAGGAGCTCATGTGTTTTCAGAGCATTTTGCATTCTATATCCCCCTTGGCTCATTTCAGACCAATTTTGATGGAGAACAGTAGTAGGCAATTAAAATTGTAACTGAACAGATTACTGTTAGAACAATTGAATTTATTATGTATTCAATTATGTTTTTAATCTGAATTGTTCTAACAGTAATTTATTTCAGATTCAATTGCAGCCATCCAATCTATTTCCACACATATGTCCTGGAATCCAAAATTATTGAATCTTGGAGAACTCTTTCTTTTTTAAGCCATAAAAGGAATGAATGTTGCATTGCAATGGATACCAGCACATGTTGAAATAGCTAAGAATGAATGGGTTGATAAAGCAGGCGAAAAAGGGAAGAACAGGAAAAAGGGATAGATTTTTATGCTATTAATTTTTTAATTCCCTGAGGATTAATTGAGAGTTTACCTACATTGTAGGAAACCAAAGTCTAACTATTGGATATTTGAAATACAAAATTGAATAATTTGAGGAGATTTAATTTTTTTGAGCTACCTTGTGCATGTTGATTAATAGATTAGAGGGAAAAAAGATACAAGACTAACACAAAGATGGAACTAATGCAAATTTTTTTTCTGGGTTTTAAAGTTACTTTTTTTAATGATTTTTTTTTCAGGGAGAATTATGCATGCATAGGCTGAATCCCATTTACTGGATACATATATTTTGTGTCTTTTAAAATTATAAATTGGTATGTTCTTTTAATCCACTGGCGGCATAACAAATGGGTAAAATTGGGAGAATGTTTCTCCCCAATACACTATTTCCCATTCAAAAACTGGTTTACCTATGCGGAGAAGACTGTAGGTTAAAGTACAACTTTTTACGGGCATAACGATTAGTGGATTAAGTTCCAAATTTCCCCCATAAAAATTCAAACTCTTAAATTTAGCTATTAGATTGAGTTGTAAATAGTCTTTATGTAGTTCTCATTGATAACAACACATAAATGATTTATATTACTATTTCCAAATAATGCAAGATAAAATCTCAATGGGAAAAAAATCAGTGCAGAAAAAAGATGTAGCATACAAGAAAGTACGGTCATTTCTTACAGGTTCAAAACAATAAATTTCATATAAAGAAAGTAGTTTAGATAAAAAAATAAGAATATATAAAGTTCTTTCAAAATAAGCAAAGATTTCAGTAAATTATTTTTATAACATTGAAGGAAAAGGATATATGAATGGAAAGGGAATATAAAAGTTTAAATTATTGATTTTAGACTGCATTATAAATATCTTACTTCATCAGGTCTCCTTTCTGTTCCTTTCAATAATAAGTTGTTAAACTCTTGTTCTAATAGTTGTCTTGCCTAGGAAAAAAACAACGTAAAATCATATTCCTCTTTTATATTTCTCAAACACAGCAATGTAAAACTCAAGCAATAAAACTTCCACATTTCATGAATAAATTGTAATGGTGTGTGTTTTACTTAAGTTACAAAAAAATTTCTTTTATAATATTAATAATAAAGTTATATTCTAAAAAACTTTCTCATTATATCATATAATGTTAAAAGAATTTATAGTGAAATATCAGCAAGCCTTGTTTTTATGATTTGCATTTAAAAATTGACCGATTCTATAGATAAGGACTTTTTTGTACTGAACTTTCGAAGTGTAAAAACTAGAGAACTGTTGCTAAAATCGGGTCAGAATGAAACAGAATCTTGGAGAAGGCTATGACCTACCACGGACTATTGCACCGACGATGATGAAAGAAATTTTACGAAATTTTCTCAATTTTATCAAGTGTCTGAGTCAAACAAAAACACATAGTTCAGTTGTGATTACTACAAAACATATTTCAGGTTTGAAATTCTTGTCGGAAGATTTTCCAAAATTGAAGTGGTAGCCAAAATGAGATATTATACACTATATAAAGTAATGAATTTGATAAATATATTCTTCCTTTTTTATAGGCTTGAAAATTGGGAGTTAGTTTTTTAAGTAAGAAATTAAGTTTGCTTATTGTTTTTGGTCACAATAAATAACACTATTAGAATATAGTGTTATTTATTGCATAGAAATATTATATAGAAATTATTTGTTAGAAAGTTAGAAACCTACTTGCGTATTTGTTGTAGGTATTTGTAAAGCTAAAGCCATTCCATTATGATCAAATGAATCATCCAATGCTATGAGAGCACCATGAACACCAGATTCAATTAGATTGTTTGAAAACTCCTTCAAGCCTATGCCATCAATCCATTTGATTACTCTGTCGTTTGACCAAATTAGAACATCTGAAGATACAGAGTTACCAATTAGAACAACAATCGAATGAAAATTATTAAACTAAACATAAGTATAAAATTAAAATGAGTGTTGTTTTAAGCATTTAAATCACAAAGAGAAAAAAAAAATTAGTAAAGTTTCAATTTATTATTGTTCTGATAGTCTTGCACATAAAAAGTCCAATTTCAAACCATTCTTCTTTTCTTAGTTAAATAAATTTTTCCACGCTTTAAGCTATGGAAGATACAATGGGTCAGTTCCGTGACATGGGGCTTGCTCTAAGCTGTTCTGGCAATGAAAACAAACTGAAAAGATGAAATTGGTTTTCATTAAAGGAAGAGTGGAGATATTCCTCCCTTTTCTTTTTTGTTATAAATTAACAAGTTTGCATAGAGTTCAAATGTCTTGAAAATAAACTATTACAGTGAACTCTCACTTATGCACCGGTGTAAGGGGCCAAGAGAAAAAGGTGCATAAGTGAAAGAGGCGCATATGTGAAAAACTTCAAAATTCTAAAACGCAACGTAAATTGCAGTGACAATATGAATAAATATGTTTCTAAAGATTAAATGTTAATATTTATACTGTTTTGTTATTTAGTACTATAATTATACAAAGAAAAAATTTAACATACCTTAAGACAATTTATTTCCTTACAAAATAATCTTAATGCATGTTTGTATTTGCTTTTGCCGACGTATTTCAAAAATAGTTTCCTCCAGTTCATATAAATGGGATAAGGGGGAGTTTCAGAAACAAAATTAAATTGTAAATAATCACGAATAGTGTCTAAAGCTTCCAATACTGTTGTGTGATTTAGAGGAACTTTATCATCCTCGTCAGTATCATCCACCACGTTCTCATCGTCCACAAGTTTTAGTTAGATATAAATGAACTCTTCTTCACAAAAAATTTGAGTTTTGTGGGAGGGGGTGAAACATCACATGATAAATTTCTAAGAAAAGTACTTGATGTCATAATATGCTGCACAATAAGTTGTTCGATTACTAATGTCGCTAAACACATCACCTCCTTTTATTTTCTTATAACTTATAATGTCCATCTGACTGCAAGTAAGTGATTGCGGTCTCTTTCATCTTTCCTATTCCAGGTGTCTTTTTTTTTCTCTAGAAAACAGCATGGGAGTAAAACTAACCTCTGGACAAGAGGAATGGTCATTTTCTAAAAGATGAATGGGCTTTCATTGTTGTTAGTGTAACAGATAAGTCACCCTATTCAAAATTCTAGAAAGAATGTCTTTCCAGAAACAGCAAAAATGAAAAGGTCACAGGGGGAAGCAAATTCAATAGGATCTAACAACATATATTTTTTTTCATCTGTAACAAGGATTGCTTATTTGCTTCATTTTTAATTTAAAATTTTTTTTTTTAAAAAAGAAAAAATATTTAAAGGATTAAAAAATTAAAATGTTAACCTAAAATTTCGGCGCATAAATGAAAAATTGACTTTTAGAGCGACGCATAAACGAAGGATGTTTATCATTATTTTACTATCTAATCTACTGGGACCTATAAAAATCGTTGTATAAATGAAAAAGGTGCATAAAAGAGGTGGTGCATAAGTGAGAGGTCACTGTAATGCCAAAATATTTTCCAATAAACCTTTTTAGTCACTTTTTCATCAAACTAAAAATTCATATGAAATATATATTTAGAAATTGAGAATTCGAATAGTGCATTTCCAGTAGAACGATTAAATCACATTCAGTAAGAATGTTCTTTATTATTCTTTAAGATTTTAACTTTTTTATTGCAGTTTAATTTTCCGATAAAAATTAACTGTAAAAATTCTAAAAAGTTGAAATTTTTTTTTGCTCAAAAAGCTCCAAGCCATGGACCTGACTCAATTTTTCAAAATTTGCTTATTTAAAATCAATAAATTATGGATTTATTACCATGCGGTAAAAAAGCTAAAATTCTAAAAAAAATAGGTATAAGTGCTTGGCTATGGTTTATGCAATATGTGCTGTTTCTAAGGAGATGTTATACTTTAGTTAAATGCGAAACTATGAAATAACTTTGAGGTTCGAGATGTAATTGGATGTGTATCATAATTTTTCAAGCAGTTAGACACTAGAATTGTTCAAAATGTGAGCAAAAACTTTTTTTTTTTTCATTCAGAAAGATATTATACCTAATCAAGCTGTAAGTCAGTTTTTATAAAACAACATTTATTTGAAACATGAACTACACATCAACAAAGATAATATAATTTCCAATTCCAGTAACAGGTCAAAATATTAAAACATCAAAAAGGTTTTTATCATTTTCATTTCCTGTAACGGGTTAGTACACAGCTTAAAAAAAAATCTAATCAAAAAATCAACTGTCTGTTTTTTTAAATTTGTTTTCTTGGATCGCGTTGAACTGTTTTTCAATCAATGCTTGTGTTAGCAGGATATTTTTAGGACTATAGCACATACAAAGACTATTGATCATCAATAAAATTTGACTAGGCACTACAAAGATAAGATTTTATTCCTAGTGTCACGAATATTGCTACATTAGTTTTTTATTTTATTTTATAAAAACACATTTATTTGACAATTACACATAAACTAAGCAAAATAAAATTAAAATACTCGTAAAAATAACCTTGTAAAATGGATTGAGTTATTATAAACCTTAAATTCAAAACCAAAACTATTCTCATCAAAAATAAACAATTCCCTGATGGTCCATAAATTGTCTCATTCTTTTATTTTAATTTAATTATAGTTTTTTTAATTCATGCTTTTGTTAGCTACATATTTTTTAGATATTTTAAGACTTTCCATCAGTTTAATACTTTTTAAATTTTTGTATAAAAATACTTTTTCTAGACTTATGATGATGGACTACTTTGTTCAATATTACTCTCTTTATTCTACACTAACTCTACATTGTAGGAATATTCTTTGTAAATAATGAATTTATAAACTAATTAGTTTTCTAAGATAGACAGTTTTGAAGATGGAGCTACAGGTTTAAAGGGTTTCTGAATGACTTTATGTATTTCACAACAAAAAAAAAAATTAAATGTAGCTGAATACAATGCTTTATAGTTAATTTGTTTGTTCATACATTTCGAATGAATTTAAAACTCTCATTTAATTAATACCATATATAGGAGGCAGAAGATCATTTTACCTTTTAATTCCATATCACAATTTTTTCTTCTTTCTTCTAGCGCTTCCCGATCATAATTTAATCTTTTTAGGCAGTTGACACCACACTGTAAACTAGTTCTAGAAGAGCAATAAGTATTAAACTTATTGATATATATTTTGAAACTTCTAAAATGCCAATTTTATTTAATAGAAAAAAGTTATACTAAATATTTTCTGAAAACTACATAAATAAAAATAGTAAAATGAAGAAAAATAAAACCTTAGTTTTGATTTAGAGCATGTGTAATAAAACAATTTATGTTAGATTTAAAGATAAAGTTAACATAATTCCAAACATGTAGTAACAAAATTATGATTCAGTTGCATAATTATTGTTTTAAAAAGTAGACTATAACAATGATCACAGTTTACGTCAATTAAGGTCTAAAAATTTGGTGTCAGACAATTTTTTTTAGAGATGCCCTTCGAACTGTGAACAAAAATAAAAAACTTCACAAAAATAAAATCGTTAGATCAAATGTCATTTGAAGCATTTCAATTTTGTGGTTATAAATTTTACAACATTTATCAGCATTGTACAATCAGTTGGCAAATTACATATAATATATTTTTGTAAGCATTAACCCTATTCAAAATATATAAAGCTATACCTAATGGCTATAACTACTTGTTATGTTATAACTTTGATAGAGTATGATATAGTTTCAATAAAATAATGCCAGTACCTTTTGTAAGTAACAGTTTTTATCCAAGTACTTATGAATGGCTCATTAAACCTTTACAAACAAATAAAATATTTTACATAAAGAGGGAATAATATATTGTATTCAGAGAAAATTGATACTTAGTGAATTGATCAGATATGTGTGGGGAGATAATTCCCCCAATTTTATTTTTTTGTAAATAGAGGTTAATAGGGAGAATGTAAATACTAAATTAATTAAAAATTTTTTTACTTACCTAAAAAATTAAATAATACTTAATTGCATTTAAATAATAGATTACACTTAATGTTATAGGAAGAATTCGTATATTAGATTAAGTTAAAATGTAATTTTATAAAAATTATTGAAATATTTTTTTATCAATATTTATTTACGTTTTTATAAAAAGAAATCTTAGATAAATAGATGTACTATTAATCGAAATTATATTCTTTTTATTGGTGTTTTTAAAGTTATCTACAATAAAAAATGTGTCACTTTAAAATGTTGGTTATTGTGTTTAAAAGGAAAACATATGGTAAAAAAAAAGAGTGAAAATGTTTAAAATTATACAGTGATACATTAAAACAGTCAATATTATAAAAAAATTTCGGCTAGTAATTTGAAATAAATAAAAAGGGCAGCCATAAAAAGAGTAAAGCAAATCTTTCATTAAAATTATTTTTACTCTAACTAAAAATAATTTTTTTGCTCCTTTAATCTGTCTTAGTAATTTTACTACATTTATAAAAATCAACAGCATACCTATGAAAATTATCAACCATTTTAAGATGAACTCGTAGATCTTTTTTAGTCAGATGGTCTAACATTCTAGCATCAACTAAACATTCCATGAAAGTTGACCGATATTGGGGAAGGCCTAGTGCTGGTAACCATTCATTTCCCATCCATTCATGGTTCATTTCACCAAAGGCTAAGCTCTGAAAAGTTTTAAGTTTTTTTTTAACATTTTGCAATTTTATTTCAGGATTTGAGCCTCGGTAAAAAAATATCTGCCAAAATAAAACACACTAAAATGATTTTTGCCGTCATATATGCGACATTGGTTCATTGCATGTTAATTGTGAAAAGCTTGTTATCAAATACACTTTGAGTCTTCTTTCCCCCCAAAAGTACTCGATTAAAAATTAGTACATATCGTCATTTATTGATGCCTGCAAAATTTTGATTTATCAAAGTAGACTATAGTTGTATAGTTAACAAAGATTAAAATAAGATTTTAAATTGCAAAATTTTATCATTTTCAATCATTTAGACCACTTTTGAGACACAATATCAAACGGATCTGATAGTTGCTTGATGATACCAAGCCTAGTAAATAACACTGCAGACTTGTACACACTTTCTTACTCGCCAATATGACAACCTTCATATTCTGTTTGATAGCAATTCTCATATCCTGTCAAAACTCACCAACATTTTTGCACCAAAGCAGTTGCTTCTATATATTGTCCCGTTTTTTTTTCCTAAAAAAATCAGTGCTTTTTGAAGAATATAAGTCATAGTTATCTTTTGATTTGTACTCTTTAAAATTTATGTAATTACAAACACTATTTTATTATTTATGATGCATAATATTAAACTTGAAGTTTCTGATAAATTTGAAAAAAATTATAAAAATGTGCCAATTTTTTACAGGCTATTTTCTTTTTATAATCCAAATTTGAATATATTTATATATATTTTATTCATTTGTTTTTCTTTACATATAATTATCGAGTACAGAACTTTATTTATCATTTCAACTCTAGCAAATATTATAATTCACTAAATATAGATGACATCGCTAACATAATTTCTGTTTTAAAAGAATAGGAGTTAAATAGATATTTTTGAAAAAATGTAAATTTCAACAAACAACACAGACGGAAAGAGTCTGCTAGGCTATTTTGTAAAGATATAATAATTCCATCCTGCTTATTGTTCTGAGTTAATGGTTGCCATGTTGTATAATGAAAAAGCGTCCATAGAATCTTCCAAAAATCTCTAACAAAAAGCTTCTTGAAAGGTCATTAGTCAAAATGAGTTTCTTCAGAGAGGATAAGTGTGTTTGCATAAAAAATGACACTAAAATATCACATAATCTTAGTCTAACAATCCTCCAAAAGAAAATATTTATATTTGCACAAAAGAAAATTATTTACAAAAATTGAATACAGTTCTTTCTTTCTTGCAAAGCAGCTATCATTGAAGAAATAAAAAAAGGGTAAAATAAAAGGGTGATAACATAAAAGAGAAATTTTAGGATAGGGGAGATAAGGCAGTTATGCTCTTGCTTGCATTTTCATAAAGATTTGCTTACTCAAAACAGTAATAAAGTTTAACAATTTCTGCAGCTAAGAATAAAATAAATGTAAAAATAATTAAAAAAACAAACAAACTTAATTCTTACAGTTCTAGAAGGTTTTGGAGCAGATGGACTTGTTAGTGCAACCATTTCTTGAATAGCAAGGCGCAGTTTCAATCGATGAAGAGGATTACTGATACCTATTTCTCGTTGAATTTCTGTATCTGACAAAGCAGACATTATAGCACCACTTTTAACATTAGCTCTGCAAGCAGCCACATACCAGGCAGGCATGCCAACCCATAACTGCATAAAAAGAAAAAAATTCACAATTTTTACAAATTATGAATTAGTATTGTAATTACATTTCAACATATGGCTTGTTAATGAAAGGAAAAGGACATTATAGACCTATATAACGGTTATTATAGAGCCTCAGAAAATTCAAGAGTTTAAAATTTACTTCAATTTGCCCATAACTTATCTTTTGAAATACTGGTACATTTTCATAACTGTTTAGGTTTTTTATTGTATTCAGGCACATCAACTCCTTTCTCATAATGTTATAAAGAAGAGTACCATTTAATTTAAACATATAAAAATAATTTTAAGCTGTGCAAAATTAAAAAAAAATGTACATTTTATAATAGAAAGGGAATGAAATTTCCCATTAAGTTTAGGGGGAAACAACTTTAAATAAAAATATATGTACTTCCTAGGTATTTTTATTTCTTAAAATTTAAAATAAAAATTTCTTAAATAAAATATTACTTATACCTTCGTCAATATCAAGCAGCTACCTCGTAAATTATAATTGTACACTGAGTGTTCTCTCATTTGCACCTTTAATGCATATTTTGAAACCTCAGACAAAGCTGAAGAAAAATGCATGCATATCAGGGGTTGCTAATTATGAGGGAAAAAAACTATGCAAATTTGACAAATCACTATTGAAGAAGACTAGATTAAAATTATCAAGACTCGTTTGAAAGCTGGAGGAAACAGAAAGGTTTTAAAGATGATGATTTAAAAGACCTTCACCTTTCACCTGGTAATCAAAAGGTTTGATGATTTGTACATCCACATTCTTCATAAGCTATTAGCCAGGTTTTTATAGTTCCCCGACTAAATATTAATTTGTGACCCCAATGTGTTTGTCTTCCTTTTTGACGATAATTTTAACGAAAGCCTAGCATGTACAGTATATGAATTTGAGCCGACTTGTACATAGACAGTCCCTTATTAGTACATCTGTGTTGTATAACAAATTGTTTGAAAATTCCTTATTATTTCATTATTGGAGCAAACAATGAAACTTATATAATTCTAGTCACTTACTTCAAGCCAGGCAACTATTGTAGGACCATTCCATAGGGCAAAAGGAGTACCTGCTTTCATAGACTCAGCTAGAAGCTCATGTCTCACATGAGAGGAGTGGAAGCTAGATGCAAAGAATAAAAATATCCATGAACTAACTGAAAAAATATAGTTCTTCAGTTAAAGATGTAAATAGAGAGAATGAAAAAAAGAAAAAATTTAAATACAGCTTTTTAACCCATTTCATTAAGCTTATTATAACCTTATTACAAGCTTATTAAAAGCCGAAGTATAAGCTCAACTCGTATAATACATTTAATTCATGTAAAATTAGGTAAGAAAGTAGGTAAGTTAAAAATAAGTGGCATAGTTTATAATAATTTTTTTTATAAAGTTCTAGAATCAAAATAAAACATATCTTGAAAATATTTAAATTAGTTAATAATTGACTTATAAAAAATAAATTTTATGAAATAAAAAATGGCAATTAAAACTGAAATATCCTTCAATATTTTCCCTTTCTTAATCATAAAACTATATTTCTTTGTGGTAGTTATTAAAATAAAACCATACTTTTTATTGGCTCTGCGGCAAAATTCGGCTTTCTGGACAACACTTCCAGAAGGAGGAGTAGAATCTACTGGAGTGGAGGCCTCACTTTCAAGGAATCCACCAGATCCTAGAGTACAATGGAAAATGTGTTGTAATGAGATAAAGTAACATTTACAAGACATAGATGTCATAGGTAGAGATAAGAACATCAAAAATGTGATTAAAATAGCATGTCAATACAATTAGGATATGTAGATTTATCCAGAATGTCTATATTGAAATTTCTAAAATAACTTTTTGCATAAAATAAAATTAAAAATAATAAAAGGAAGAAGAATTAGATTGGTCATAGAGAGAACTGGAATGATAAGTAAGTTTTAATACCTTCAGAAATGGTATTTGTAATTTACTCGCTACAATTATGAATCACAGAAATTAAAAAGAGGACACTGAAGGAAAACAGGTCTTATTCTCGTAAGAGAAATCAACTTCAATTAAAGCTAGTCCCCAGTAAAAGGAAACTTACTTTGTAAAATACCTTAATAAAATCTGTATTAATTTATGGTAGAAAATAAGTCTGAAGAATATAAATTACACGATTTTGAAAAAACAACAACCAACATATTGTTGTAAGCTATCCTTTGAAAGCTATCCTATCTCCTACATATCCTTTGAAAATAACTTCATTTTTCACTTGTGACCCAAGAGCTATAAACATTCTCTCTCAGCAACAGTACTCAGTATCTGATGTTGCATGATGTGGCGAATTTCTTTTTTGTATTTTTTAACAAACTAAATCTAATTTTATTAATCAATCGTCATCGTATGTAAATATTAAATGAATTCTTTTACGTGTTAATTGGTATTAATCATTATTAAAATTATAATACTTGCTAAATTATTTTTGGTGCTATAATACTAAATAATGTTTGGCGAATTCAATTCAATCATAATTATACAGAAAATTTAAACAACTTAAAATTTAATGGCAATTATTGACTCTTTCAGAATATTATGGTTGGTGGGTTCAGAATATTATGGTTAGCTAGTAAAAAAAACAAAAACAAGATGGAATTGCTTAATAAACCACCAAGTGAAAATTTATCAAAAAACTTATTTTAAGCCTATAAAAGAGGGATGAAAATTCTAGCATTTTAAACGTACTCTAATAGATACATGATGCAGCAAAATTAAAACAACTTTTTTAAAACAACAAATAAGGAGACCATTTCAAAACAACATTTTTAAGATTTGTATTTAAGATATTAAAGAGATTTTGCAAAGCGTTGAGGTTCCCCTTATCCCTAACGTTAACGCTATTTGAGCTTTATACAGCATACATAAAAACTTCCCTACAAATTGCCTTGGGATAGAAAATAAGGTTAGTGTTAGCATTAACATAAGACAATATGCAAAATCTTTTTTTAATATTTTGTATTTAATAAATTATAAGCAAATGAATGAGTTTGCTCACCCTTAAGCTACATTTGTTAACAACTGAATTATCATACTTACTTTTTCTTCATCAATTTTGGTGTCTCTATTTAATATAGATTGAAATAAAATCAAATTGAGTATAGTTTAGTTAATAATTGAGCTTAATGACAATTTCACGACTGTCTTATACATATACACTGTAAATAAATCTAATAATAATATGCTAAATTTATAAAGGAAAAGAGTAGATACAAAAGAAGGAGGGTAATCACCTTGCACCATAAGTTCTTTGCTCAATGCTTCTTTAGATTTCACTTTTTCCTTTTTGCTAAAGAATCTTCCTAATGATGACTTGAAGCCCTTTTTCTTGGCAGCAGCTTTATGTAGAGAATCCTGAGATGAATTAATAGAACTGATGGGTGAGGTAGCATTTAATAAGCTACTTTCAACTGTGGGTCTGAAAGGTGAAGTGTTACTGGAACAGAAAAGAAATCGCTACAATTACAACAAATTTCTTTATAACATACTGAATAGTAAAAAAATGATGAACATTTTTAGTGAAAGGATAACTGCAAAAGGTAAAACACATTTCTTGTCAAATAATAATTAAGTTTATAGAGCTTAGTGCATGAAGAAGGCAAGTGACATTTCAGAGGTATTCATTAATCAGGGAAAATAATATAAAATGGTGGTAATACTATGTTTAATGTAACATAATAGCTTTTTACTTTTGCTTTAATTTTGACATAACTAATCCACATTAGTTTTGAGTATGCTTGAATGATTTTTATTTCACATTAGGTAGTGGTAAATAAAATAAGGTAAGGAGTTCCGCCTTCTAACAAATTGATAATAAAATAATTTGGATACGAACTTTTTCTTTTTACTCTGATTACAGCCACTCAGAAAGTGTTACTTACCGGGTTCATCAACTCAGCTCTTCATTTAATCTAATCATTTTACAATAAATATGCATAATTTTTTTTTCTCAGTACAATCCTATTTGTGCAGAAAAAATTCGATAAATAGTTTGCATTTTATGCAGTTGTAGAAAAACTTAACACAAAAATTAAAGAACTATAAATTGCCGCAAGACTTTGACTTTATAGCTCTTACTAGGCCAAATTATGACTTCGTTACTTATTCTTGGCAAAGTGTTTTATTACATTGAATGTCGAATTATCAATAAACATTGTGATTTGATGTTAGAAGGAGATATGTTGAGGTCACAATCCCATTCAAATGTACCTTTTTTTTGTTTCTGTGAATTTTCGCTTCACAATTTTATTTTGATCAGAAATGTCATCGTAATTTTTATGAAAATAATTCACTTATTAGGAGCTCCAAAATGTTTTTTTTTCCAAGGATTATAATATACTTATAACTCTGCCTAACCAATTTTTAATTAAATCACAACATATTTTTATGTGATACATCATCTTTCAATGACTGATGAAATAGGCTGAACTGAGATGATTAGTTTCCTTTTTTAAAACTTGGGGTAACATAAAATTATACACGAAGTTAGAAACTTAAAAGCAACAATTTTGTCACTTTCTACCATTCTGTAAATGTAAAAGATCCAACTATTGTTAAATGTAAAAGATCCAACTCAGATTGTTTAATGTTGCAAACAGTGGGTCTTAAAGTTTCTAAGCGTAATAATAACTTCCAAAAATGTGAGAAGTGGTAGAGAACAAAATAATGATAAAGGCAAAGTGTAATTTCCATTGTTCATCCAAAAATTTGATTATAAAATCAAGACAGACACTCTACGTTAGCACTGCAATTTGTATTTATCTTGATTTTTTAGATATTTAGAAAGTTAATACTGTATTAATGACATTATTGAGCATAATTATTACCATATAAAATATATGGTAAAAGTCACGATCATGGGTGAAATTATTTTTATTTTCAAATTAAGTAAATCTTTAAGATATAAATTTATTTGCCATTGCTTTTTTATTCTGCTGGAACAAATTGTTAGAACTCCCCTTTAAATATCAAGAAATTCATTAGAATAATATTTCTAAGAAATTATTGATTTTTTTTCCTAGTTCGTTAGGATTGCCTGATATTAGTAGTTGCATTATCATTCACAAATTTCAAAAATAATCATATTACACACAAAATAGGTTAAATGTAAATTGTTTTACATTGAAAATTTTTGTTTCATGCAGGATTAATAAAAATATCATATCAAAATCTTTAATTTGAACTTACTAACCTGAGTAGATCAGGAGGAACTGTTGAAGAAGGTATTGATGATGAAGGATGAGCAGGATTTGACTGAAGGGAGCTTTATATCCAATAGCAGCACAAACAAAATAGATAATTTACTACAAAATACAACAAAAATCAGCCACGGTTTAAAATGTGATAATCTCTGGTAAGAATGTACAAGCGTGTAATAAATAGAATTCTTTTTGAATTCTATTTATTACACGCAAGTCCTCAGATCTGTGGTTTTTAAAACTTTTTTATTAGGGGCAGCATTTTAAAATTTTAACACCATCAATGCGCCCAATATAACAACTATCGATTTCCAGTCAGAAAATTTCAGAATATAGCCATTAACTGAGAGGAAATTATGTTTGCATTGGTTTCTGGTACTCATGTCAGTAAGTTATAATTGTCTGGGATATTTTGGTAGACTGTACAAATCTACATAAAATAATAATAAACACTTGATTTATTGTAGTTGTTATATTGATAGAGATTAATTTTTTTAATTTAATCATAATTTTTTGGATTTAATAACATTTTCTTTTGCAAGAATTTAGTTTTAAATTGCAATCCTTAATAATCAATTCATTTTAAGCAAAATTTTAAATTACACTGTTTATAATAAAATAAACTCATTTATAACACTTATTAAAAAAGTTTGAGCAATAAATTTATTTTCACGATTACAAAATAATTTTCACAAATTAATTTATGTATAGCACTCCAATAAATCTGTTAATGTTCAATTTGTACAACAAAATATGTTTCCCTTTCAATAAGATTACAAAACACACAAATGCAAATCACAATAAGAAGCACAAATACTATGTACACTTAAAAAATACTCGTATGAAGAAATTTTTCTAAAAATGTAATGATACTTTAAAAACTATAAGTACAAGTTACACATAAAAAACAAAATAAATAATTATTTTAATCATAATAATTAAACAAAATTATAAGTTATCATAATTAAAAAATAATTTCTGTGTATATGAGTTATAACTTTGCGTATGGTTTTTCAAAATAGACATTATTACAATTAAATAATGTATTATTACTTTAAACTATCAGAAATAGAAAGTAAATTTGTAATAATTTTCATTAACATACAACAAATTCCAAGTCGTGAAACGCTACAAAAAGGAAATGGAAAAAAAAATAATTAAAAAATCAGAACTCTATTGGCCAGGGATGATGAACCAATGGCACGCGTGCCATTTATGGCACGCAACACGATATTTTGGGCACTCCACCGATCACAATTGTTGTCACACTATCAATTGTTATTACGCTATGAATCATATGTAACAATTAAATTAAAATTCACACAAAACAAACAAAATAATAAACAATTATTAATAAAAATATTAATGCTAAGAAAACAATTAATAACCACAAAAAACAAGCTAACAATAAATAACTAGCAAAAAAAATCAACAGTCCTGCTTAAACTAACATCTTACAACCTAATACATAAGTTATTGACCATCTGTAACAACAGAAGTCACACTGATGTTACTTTAAGTTGAATTACGCGTATAGCTGAGACATTGCAAAATGTTTTTTTTTCCAAGGTAAATAAAGAGTTTTGAGTTGATAGTATTTAGTATTATTATTTTCCCAATAATCACGAAGTCAAAATTATTTGACGGCATTTCTATGACCTCAATAAGCAATTTTAGAGAAAATGGCATGTTGGTGTATAAAGGTTCGCCACCCCTGCTATAGGCAATAAGATAAATGTAAATGTTTTTCATTCAATAACGTACCATTTATTGAAAAACAACTTGATCAATAAATTATATAAAATCAGATATGTTATGTTTAATGATTTAAAATAAAGTTGGAATATAACCTTCTGTAATCATCAGGATTTTGAGACTGCGAGTGAGAAATTCTTTCTAATCTAAGTGAGCGGGGAGTCGGAGGACTTGACTGCCGGGATAGTTGACTGTCATCAATTGATTCAGCTACAGCTTGGATCTAAAAAGACAATTAAAAATCAGTTTGTTGTTTCAAAATATGACACTGCAAGTCTTTATAAGAAGAATATACTTCTAATATGCACAGTAAACTAAATTTCTGTAATATAAAAAAAGGATAAAATATTCATAGTTTTCACTGCAATTAGTCATTTACATTATATTTAACTAAAGTTTAAATATAAGTACAAGTTTAACAAAGAGGTATAAAGCTATCTTAAAAATACAGTTTCAGCAAAAATCCAACTAACATTGAATAATAAATATATTTTTAATTTGACTGTGATTTATTTTAATATTCAGAAAAGTAAAATAAATTTATCAATGTTTTTAGAATTTAAATGCATATTATTAAGTCTTATTAAGTTTTCATTGTAAAGTTTACGTAAGATTTTCTACATAATTTATGAATCACAATGCTTATTAAAAATTACAAATGCTTCATGCTTTAACGTTTCTATTTTTCTAGCTTATTTCTATAAAAACAAAAGCAAACTAATATGATGTTAATTATAATTGAATTAAACATGGTTGAGTATGAGGTGTTTTTTATACAAAAATCTACAAAGCAGAAATCTCCGAATTTTATCATTCATCGATAGCAGCCAAATCATTCTATTGCACAAAAGGTGAGCCAAATGAAAGCAAATATTTATAAATAGTTAGATTCTTGTACTTCAAATTAAAACAAACATCTTACCTACGCCATTATTGTTCCTTTTTGCAATACTTTACTACTAAAAAATTAAACTAAACATTGTTGGAAAATTAAGTGAAATGAAAGTATAATTATAATTTTTCAAATAAAAAATAATATTTTTTTTTTGTCAAAATGAATGTAGCTAAATGGGACTAATTTGAATTAACCCTCACAACAAAAATAGTTTAAAAACTATAATGGAACAGAGCATAAAAAATGAAATATTTTAGAAATGCAACCAGCGTGGTAGTATCGAGAGACAATTAAGTTAGAAAATTGTATTAATTGGAAGCTATTTATTTCCTAATCTAGAAAAAGAAAAAACAATAATGCAATTACAAACCATTCTCTTTAGCAGTTCTAAAAAGCTTTTCTAATTCTCTAAGTTCGAAGCTTTAACATTCTCAAATTAAGCACCATGCAATATAAAATTCTAAATACTGATGTTAATTATTTTTTTCTTGCACATTTATTTCTTTTTAAATTTTATAAAGCAAATATTCAATTATAATAAAATAATATAAGATTAATAATAAAATCTAGATAATACAAGGATGCCAACTTGTAGCAATGCTTTTCAAAAATGCTAACACAATATTTTTGTAGTAGGTAACAAAAATATTTTTCATAAGAAGTAATAATAGTAATTTACCAATAGTAATAGTAATTTTATCATAGTAATAGTAATTTTAAAAAAGTAACATGGGACATTGAAACAATATTATGTAAGTTACATTTTATCATATAATAAAATAAGCTTAACATTCAATTTATGTAAAGATTAATAATTAGAATTTATAAAAATATGGAGAAGATAACTTTAAATTTAATTTAATCAATCAAAAAATTTCTTTTCTTTTTTCTATTAAAAATAAATATCTTTTTGCAAATTGCAAAGACATTACTAAAAAAGGAGTAGTTGGCATCTTTGTCGGTAACAAAATTATACTGTTTCAATATTTGTTATTACACAATATTTTTTAATATAAACAATAAAATAATATTTTTATTATCAATAACAAAAATCATACTATTTCAAAATCAATAACAAAATCCTAATATTTTAATATCAAGTAACAAAATTAAATTGCTTTAACAATAACTACAAAATTATACTGTTTTACAGATTTTACAATAAAAAAAGTTATTTATTTCATAAATTACTTTTTAAGGTCATATTTATCAGAAGAAAAATTATATAACAGAAATTTCATATTTTTTCTTTTACTACTAAATTATTATTATTATTTTTAATATTTTGTACTTACTGAATATATGAAATTGTTAAATAAAAACTAAAATATACATCAAAGGAGTGCAGATGACAACAATCAATTTTGGATGTAGATTGGTGAGAAAAGGGACTCAGAACAGGTTTAAGACATTTAGTGAAATGGATTAGGGCTTAAAGACATAATAACATGTCACACAAGGTTACAAAACAATTTTATTTGAAGTTAAATTCTCCGTTATTTTATGACTTTTACTTAAAATATTATGACTTAAACTTTGCAATTAATATGCATGAAAGAAAACTAAACAAAAACATTTTTGTAAATTTATAAATTGTTGATATTGAGGTTGAATAACAGGGTAGCATCATTTCTCAGATGGCGTGTGACGACGTTTCATTTGACTCACCAAAACATAAGTCTAATAACTCGCTTAATCCTCTGAGTTTTTAGCACAAACTCTTACGTGCTGTTAAAAATTAATTTTAGAAATTGGCACAAAATTCCTTAAAGACCCCCACTTCCTAAATTTTCAAAAGATTAATCTCAGAGGATTAAGTAAATATCGCAGCATAGATGAAACTTTGACTCAAATACCTGTGGTGGCATAGAATCAGCTAATTGAGGCTGGCTTGTTGAAGCATATTGATACATATGAGCAGGGGTCATAGATGCAGGAGCCTGAAGGGCAAAACATCAAAACATTTTAAGCACTTCAACGCTCATTATATGAGACAAAATGACAAATTTTCTCATATGAATTAGTACTGTTTGCTGAACACTTTTTAAGGGTCCCACAAAGCTCGCTATAAATTTACAGAAACTTTCTTATAAAGTTCTTTTAATTTTAAATCATGATTTGATTAAAATCTACAGGCATTAAATAAAGATAATATTTAATAAATTATAAAACCTTAAAATTATTATGGTAATGATGCAATTATGACAATTGTGTTTCCTAGCAAATTCAATTATCTCACTTTTTTTTCTCTTTTTTAAAAAATAAATTAAATGGGAAAGGAAAAACTTCAAATTGCATATTTCAGGTAAAAAGGCATGAATGAGGTTAAAAGTACGAACAGCTAAAGTCTATACAAACAAATTTTTCACTTGAGGATATTATAGGGGGAAAACATACAATTTGTACAAAAAGACAAGATTAAAAGACAGAAATTTACAACATAAAAATTAATGTACTATAATATTAAAATTCTTATTGTTTTGTGCACCTTTCAATGATGATATACAGTTACTCATTTTTTGATCTTTGTCTAATTAAAACTTTTAATGAAATGACTATACTTTATTTCATTCATATTTCTTGAATTTAAAAATTTCAGAAATTCCAGAAGAATATTATAGAGATATATTAAAATGTACATTTCTCGTTAAAAAGTGTTTTAATATAATTGTATAAACACTTACTCTGAAAAAGATAAACTAGTCATTGCAGTTTTTGAAAAAATTAGAAATGCATTTATTGTGCATACTTTATAAGTTAAATGGAATTGGTAACGTATTATAAATGCTTTTATATTTTTTAGTATCATATAAGTATATCATCAAATTTTGACTGACATTTTTCGTTAGGAAGCTAAAAATGGGTGAATGTTTAGAAGCAAATAATTTTACAGTACTGGAGGCTTGCAATGATTTTGGAATAAGTGTTTCCAGATATAGTACACTGCATTAGAAAAGATTAATCGAAATAGAGAAAATAAGATAAACTATATTACAAAGTGTGTTAATTAGGATTTTTTTAAAAAAAATATTAATTACCAGTATGCTTATACTGAAGTTTAGAAAAAACTTGATATGATAATATAGTTAATTTTTAAAAAAAAAGTACATTAAGCCTGTTTTGCATTTAGATGGTTCCTATACAAGGCAATAAATTAAATTTTTACACATACTAATTATTAATGGAATACTTTACAGTTAATCTGAATCATTCTATTCTGCATTTAAATGGTTCATATAAAAGGCAATAAATTTAGTTTTTAGAGATACTAATGATTAACCCAAGTAAGATTGCTTTACATTTAGATAGTTCATATATAAAGCAATAAATTAAATTTTTACACATACTAATTATTAATCCAATACTTTACGAATAATACATATTTCATAGGTGGTTTAAAGAAATTTAATCTTTTTATAGCAGGATGACATTATTAAATATTTTCACATATTTAGACTATAAATAAAGAAATGTATACTGTTTTCTTCCTAAAATCTTTAAATTAATGCACTCAAATAATAACTCAATTATATAATTTTTTTATTCATATTCTTAATGCATTATGTATCAACAATTTATTTTGCACTTTCAACCAAATATAATTACTTTTCAATAAAATGGTCAAGATATAAAGACCATTGACTCTTCTTTTATTTAACCTACGAATAGTTGCAAAATTTTCATCTGAGTAAAAATGAAAAATACAACACATATATGAAAGATAATAATAATGCAACAAGTTTATTACCTTTAATAATTTTATCATAGATCACAGAAAATTTTCAACAAAAGAAACTTTCAATCATTTTTTAATATTATATCATGATTTGAAAGAGTTAATAAAACATAATAAAATATATGCATAGAATATATGTTGAATGATGTTTATAATTTGGAAATAATATGTTTAAGCATATTATAAACATCACATTAATTATAATCCTTACTGTGTGGTATTTTTGTAAATAGTCTCTATTCGGACTTAGATGAGACTTTGGTGTTGAACGTCCACTGGGAGGTGGAGAGGGCCTCTCTGGTGCTCTAGCCAACAAACTCATAGTATCCATACTGCCTACTCTCGATTCCAATTCCTCTGCTCGCTGTTCTGTACTTTGTTTTTCTTCTTGTATTAGTCTACACAAAACGAAATAATTCTTGTAATTTTAAATAAAGCAACCAGAAGTCTTAAGTAATATAAACATTCAAAGTAGGTAATTTCTATTAAAAAATTTACATTAATGTATCCTTCCCAAAAATAAATACAAATGAAAGGCAGACTTTTGATTCAAATTATATTTTTTTCTTTAAATTTTGAGCTCAACATTACCAGCTAAATTAATCTATTTTTATATAACATTGTAAATTAACTAAGTAAAGTGTGACTCAAAATTTAAATGATATAAGATCAATAAAATTTTTCAATAAAGATGAAAAATAGAAAGAAAAAAAATATTTCAGAACGTATTTTCTAAGTTAAGTTCAGTTTATGGTAAATAACAGTAAAGTATATATCAAACACAGAATATATTTATAATGAAATTTTGAAAAAAGCGGAGTATTAAGAACATATCTTTCAAGCAAAGAAATTACTTTGAAATTAGGCAAATTAAAAACTACCATATATTCCATTAGTAATTAATTAAAAATATGATTTAATTAATAAGTTAATTTATAGTTTTTTTACAGTATAAATCAAGAATTACTTAAAACATTCTCCAACTACAATTACCACAGAAGAGAACTTTTAGAGGTAATGAACTAAAACATAATTTTTCTTAAGCAACGAGAATTTTCTTAAATTTTGCCAGCACAAAAATTCACTACCAATTGACTAATTATGGCAGTTTTTACGAGTGTTTGAATTTTTTTTAATATTACTTAGTAATCAATACTCCTTTGATATCAAATTTATTAAATTCAGAATAAAATATTAAATTATAACACTTACAACCACTGGAATAAATCATTTATCCCAATTATGGAAATTGTAAAGCATTTAGCTATGAAGTATGTAATAGTTAAATTCACAGATTAATTTAACACATAATTATTTTTAATGAAATTTTATTCAGGGAACTTTGAATAGAATGAAGCATTTCTTGCCACATGTAAACTGGTATGGAGAAAGGATGGAGATGGAGAAATTTTTATGATGGAAGATTATAGTACATACACAAGTGCCATGCTTGCGAAGAATCGAAATTTCTCTGATGTATCAAAACGATAATTGTTTAATTTAAATAACAATGGCCATTATAACAATGAACAAAAGAAAATAGTTGGGATCAGACACCTGTGATAGAGATTAAGAGAGGCATCTTTAAACATGATGAAATATATATTTTTTAGTGAATTTCGAAAACCATCTGACTGGGAGGAAATCATCACATGCCAAGAATTTAACATTAAAAGTGAATGAATTATTTCCGATGAACAGTTAGGAACATTGGAAGAGTTCCATAGTTGGTGATTTATTGACAGATATAATAGTCAAAAACAAAGCCAAAATTAATATTAAAGTTTAAATATAGCTTAATGACCAAACAGATTGAGAAAATTAATATAACTCCGCAACAGAAACATTTTTGTGGTAAGAGAAATAATGTAACTTAAAGAATAAAAAGTTAAAAATAGATTTTGATGTTTGATTTAGTAGCGACAGTGAATTAATGAGTTATACATTTGTATTGAATTAAAAAGTTAGCCGTTATTGATTGTTAAGAAGGGAATACATTACTTAAAATTGCTTTTTGTAAAATGTTTTTATAATTTAATTAAAATTAGATTCAGAATGATTAAAAAATTAAATTTATGAAATTAAAGACATTTTAAAAGCTAGGAAATATGTAATGCCTATAATGACATCAGGTGGTACACCAAATTTCATTCTTCATTAATAATAATTATCACTAACATGAAAAGTGGTATACCTGATTTTATAATCCATTTAAAGAATTATTGTAACAAATATGCAATATGCATACTTAATTTCATTATTCAATCAAAAGGATTGTGGCACTTAAATACATAATGCAATAGATTAAAATTAGTCTTTTTTCAAGTCTTGGAATTTTTTAAAAATTTTTTCTTAGTAATCAATATTCTCTTAATACCAAATTTATTAAATCCTGAATAAAACACTTAAGTATAACTACTACAACCATCGGGTTCATTCATCTCAAGTATGAAAACTCCATAGCAGTTAGCTATGTAATAATATTAGTTACAACTAGATTTATTTAAACAAAGTAATTATTTTTTTATACAATTTAATTTATTCAACTTTGAACAGAATGAAAACATTTCTCTTGATATGTAAATTGGTATACCAAGATTCATTATTCATTTAAAAGAACTATCATAAACTCTTGGGTAGGGGCAGCCCAGTGGTTAGAGTATTGAATTCCCGTCTGGAGGAGCTGGGGACTCCACTAAGACCCACCGAGTACATATAATACACATGCTTATAAAATCTGTTGAATCAAAAGTCCTGTGGTTGGTCACTGAGCAGTACCAAGGGGTACAGGGATCTGGATAAAATTTCCTTCCTCTTCAGATGTATGTCTAAATAGAAGAAGTGTCCTCATGAATGAGTGGTGCCGCCATCTATGTGTGTGGTTCTGAGTCAAGACACACTTTCACTCTTGTGGTGCTCTTTTATCAAATGAAAGATGCACATTCCTGACCTAATTAGAAAGACCAATGGCTGGCGAGCTTGGCTTGCCCAAGTGTTATTATAGCAACAACAGCATTACAAACATGCACAATGTCATATCTAATTTTATTAATCGATCAAAGGAATTTCAGTGAATTTCCAAACGGACAAATCAAATTTCATCATTCTTTTAATAAGAGTAAATATAAATATAAGAAAACTGGCATACCTTATTTCATTATTTATAGCATCCAACTGTTCCTGCAGCATCAGAGCGAGAGCTTGTGCGTCTGTATGTCCTGAGGGTGACAAAATATCCATTGATTCAAAAAGGTTACCATCCTCATCTTGGCTGCATTCATTATCACTGGTATCAAAGCCTTGTTGAACGTTAGATATCATATGACTTTGTTCCATTTTGTCCCAGTTCTGCTTTAAGATTGTTGAAATCACTGAATGAATAAACACAGAATAAAATAAAGTGACTTAGATTAACTTTTTAATACTTACATTAGAATTTTCTTCAGCATTTCTGTTGCTAAGAGTCCCTTGACTTTTCTGAGATCCTGATGGGGAAGGAGTTGTGTACATATGACCTATACTTGTATTAATTGAGTCAGAATTGATAAGATTCATGTTTCGGTTGGGAGAAACAGATCCACTAGTGGCAGTATAATTTGCCCAGGAAGGTGACAGACTTTGCTGATTGGCAGAACGTCTAGATAATTAAGAGGATGAATACTTTAAAAAGTTATAAAGAGAAGAATTTATACCTTAAAATGAAATTTTCTATTATATAACACAGTTTAAAAGTGATTTTAAAAATGAGTTTAAAGTTACAGTGGAGAACACATAGATAAATTATCTACAGAATAGAATTTAACAAAGTATAAACTGTTTACAAATTGTTTTGAGAATAATTATTACACATTTTTTTTTTTAAATTACCATAAGCATCTTGAACGAAACATATCAAACAAAGTTAAAAATTGAATGATTTAGAATTTATTTTTAATAGATGATTCAAGTTCAGTAAGAGTTATATTTATAAAAAGATGTTATGTTTTTCACATGATAGATAATTTTCTTATTATGGAAATAATATTAATTTATGGATTTATTTGTGAGAGTAAATATCTACTACCCCACCTTGATAGAGAATCAGATCTATAATTTTGGAATTCATGCCTTAATGAGTCCATTTCATTTCTCATTTTGCCAAGTTCACCAATTATTTTATCCTAAGAGTAAAGAAGTATCATTGAAAAAAAAAAATTCTAATATAAAAACACAGTTTCAATATAAATTAAAATAAAAACAAAAAAAATACATACTTTTTCTGATTGTGTATCTTCTAGAAGTTTTTTAGTTGTATCTAAATTCTGAGCCAAAGAATTTTTTTCTTCCAGTGCATGCATTTTTTCTTTTAAATGCATTTGTAATCTCTCATTTGATTCGGCAAGTAACTTATCAACTGTAGCAGCAAGTCGAGCATTATGGTCTTCGTTCATTTTTTCTCTCTGTCTAGCCTGAAATAGAGGAGAAAATTAAAAAAACAAAACTCTCATTTTCACTTTAATAAAGTAAAATAGACAGATTGAAAATACTTCTGATATCTACACTGCATAATAATAAGTTCATGAAACATATTTTTTTCAGTTACACCTGTAACTCATTACTGATTTTAAGAAGAATTACAAAACTATACAAACCTTAATAGGCAAAACATATTTTACTTTGATTAAAAATCTATAATCAATTACAATTAAAAGCAAGTTTAAAATACTTATTTTAAACTAAACATAATTTTTTTTTCGTTAAAAAAATAAATTTGGTTTTTTAGTTTATTTATTTGCAAAAAATAAAACTTGGAAATGTTAGAGTTTATGCTTCTTTTCAAATAAAATTTGCATCGGAAAATCAAAATAAATTAGGTTATTTTTAGAGGTTCCCAAATCATTTTAAAGAAGAAACTTTTTCTCCAATTAAATACATGATTCAGATAATTCTAATAAACATGCCACATCTGTAAACCCGCAGAGTGCTGTTAGTAAAAGAAATAATTAAATTTATACTCCCAAATCAATAACAAATTATAAATTCCAATTTAATTAATGACACATTAAAATATTTCAACAGTTTACTTTCAATTCTTATGTAATAGGTTCTAGATATATACATAATTCTAATCTCGCCAAGCAAGTAAACCAACATTAACACATTTAGAAGAAAAAGAGTATTTTTTGAAAGTAGGTAAGGAAGAGTGTTTAATCGATAAACCTGGAATGAGTCTAGGTAGCTAAATATTTGTGATTGCTTTGAATTAAATTGTTCAAATCTGGTAACAAAAGAAAATAAGTTATTGATACCTGACAAAAGAATTTCGAATTATGACCAACAGCAATCTAGAAATTATGACCTAACTACCAACAGCTACCCTATTCTTTTCTATGATGCAAAAATATACCCATCTTCCTTAGACCTCGTTTTTCACCACCACAGACTGTTCTATGAAAAAAGCTAAACAACACGAATTATGTAAGCATAACTGATGACACAAAAATTGGCATACTATAATTTCCATTTCATAAGTAAGAGTCTTCTTATTGTCTAAACACAATACATGAACACCAGACGAACTAGTTACAACAAGGAAAATAAAAGAAACGAGGACAAACCACTTTTTTATTCACATTTAAGGACGTCTTGTCTTCATAGACAAGCTTTGGTAAGATTCAGTCATTTAATGTAGATTTTCGGAATATTAAAATGCAAAATTTATGTTTATGAATAATGATGCATAGTTTTTTTAAAAAATTGAAAAAATAACATAGATGTTTTAATCTAGTGTTCAGTTTAATTTATACAATGCTTACATTTGGGTAATATGATAACTTATACCTGGTTTTTCACTTTTAGATTTGATTGATTTTTGGAGTTTGTAGATGATAATGTTTGGAGGCTGATATCTAAGTCTGATCCTGTTTAAGTTAAATGTTTCCAAGGGAAATTTAATTAAAAAAAACTTAACAACTGACTAAACTAAATATTGTGATAAACAGCATTGAGCTTGAAGGAAAAAAAGGCATGTTTTGTCCATTTAGAGGTGTATAAATTCTGAAAATTTCAAAGAAAAGAGGACAATACCCTAGACAGTTCAGTGCTTTTCTCTTCTAATTGCTGCTCAAGTCTTAAAAGTCTCTCTTCAACACTTCCTTGTCTTTCATGGATCTATAAAAAGTACACACGTCATATAATAGTACACACATGTCATATGTCTAATAAATTTGGTAATATTATAAAAAACTAACAATTTAGAAAAGAAAAGTGACTTTTAGGTGATTGCACAAATAAGGTATAGACTATGGGTAACTATGGGTATAAGGTATAGACTATGGGTCATTTTGAAAGTAAAAATCCCAGTTCTTTTTTCAATGACATAGTTTGATTTGTGCAAATTACATACGGATGTAAAATCATTTAATACATTAAATGAACTGAAAATTTTTTATCTTGCATTTAGCATTTCTTAATTTACATTTATGAAGTTAAATTATAATAATGTAAAAGAAATTTTTGTTATAAATTTGGCAATGAATAAGTTTAAAAAATTTTTATTGTTTTATTTTTAATTTCAAATTATAATTTCAAATTCACTAGTAAAAAATAAATTACAGTATTTTCTCCCACTATTAAATAAAATAATGCTTTTAGAATCAAAGAAAAAGAATTATCATAAATTTGAATTGTGACTACTTTCGGCATGCTAAAGAGATAAAATGTTTACTGGAAATTTGTACTGATTAGAAAAAAATAGTTTTGATCATTTTCTAACTGCTGAAAGATATATCAGCATTTCATCTCTAAACAAAATTTTATTGTCAATCATAATTCCAACCATTAGCTGGAACATTTTAATTTTAATTATAGCTGTTGCTTAGAAAGTTGAATAACTGATTAGCTAAGCTGGCAGCTCCAAGCAATACAAATTAAAAAAAATTTCTAGATGTAGTAAGCAAAATGTATCGTTTTCTTAACATAATCAAACTAATGCTAAAAAGACATAATGCTAAAAAGAAAATCAATGAAAAATGTTTTTTAAAAACTATGTTTTTCAAGTGAAATAACAAGGAAAACTTCTGAACTTTTTTTCATGCTAAAATAAAATAAAAACAGGTTGATTAACTGTATTAGTTAATTTTTATTACCACCAAAAATTCAATTATCTTTCAAAAATGATGTGTCCTGCAATTTTTGTTTTAGGTGTGACAAAAATTAATTATTTTTCATTTTAGTTCATCTGAAATATGAAAAACTCATACATGAAAAGATAGAGGAAGAACACATTCAAATATATTCTAACAAATTTCAGAAAATAAGTTTTGTATAAAATAAAAACATCATGGAGATGAAGTTTCTCTATTATAAGCTATTTGTGTTGCCAATCTAAATTATGCAGAAAAGTACATTGTAGACATTGTCCGCCATTAAATGTTCTCAAACATGAAAATTCGAGCCTTATCCAACTGCTGTTTAACATATTCTTTCACTAAGCTTTACAAACAAGTTACATAAAATCAATTTTGCTACATAAATCAAAATTTGGGTTGAGCAATTGAAACAGACATGCCTATTTTCCTTGTTATACTAGCATTTCAATTTGTTTAATAGTATTATTGAGCTTAATTTGCTAAACAATACAACAAGGCAAAATTGCATGGAATTTTTCCTAATTTTAAATCTGTTTTCTATGCAGGAAACAGGCTTGCCTAAAGTTCAAAATGAAGAGAAGAGATCCAAAACATTAAAATTATTGACAATAAATTAAAAATTCAGAGAAGATACTAATATTTTTTTACTTAAAAACATTAGCTCACTGCTTGAATAAAAAAATTAATTATGAATAATAAAAAACAAATCTGAACAACCTGGCTAAGAGCATCCATTTTACTTTTCTCTTCAGAGCTATCATTTAAAGATTCAGCAGTAACAGAAAACTGTGCTAGCTTTTGCTCAGCTAAATCTAATCTTTCCAGTAAAGCTTTGATTTTTTCTTCACTCTGTAAACAAGTTTAAACAATTCATTAATGGTGGTTGAAAATGCTAACTTATGAAGAAAAAAAAAAGTATTAATAATGCTTGAAGTCTTAGTTAATACATATTATTAAAAATGATTTTAAAATATGATAAAAAAGAAATAATCAATAAAATTTCCATTTAAATGCTAAATGATTTTAATGCATCATAGAGCAATGAATAAAATAAACTTGCATTATACATTGAGAGAATTTCAATGCAAAACAAATTTTTTTTAAAAATATAGTACACATTAACATTTTTAAATTATCAAGAACTATCAACTAACAGGAATGCTTAGTAACAAAGATTTTTGATTTGTAAAGTAATAAAAGCAAGTCAACAACAAACAATGAAGAGAAAAAAGTATCATCAAGTTTTTAAAATTGAAAAATATGCATTCTTTAATTAATTTCTTTTTTTTAGTTGCAAAAGCATGAAAGCATATTTCTTTCTATTACATAGATTTCATACTCACTTTCATTGAAAATATAATATTTAAAATGTATAGAAAAACCACAGTGAAAACTAGATATCCTTTTAGCAGAGGTCAGTATAAAAGCTTCTTACATAATTTTGTCTATTAATGCAATTTTCCCATTAGTAATTACTTTGTAAGATTTAGTTCCAGCTTCTTTCACAGTTGAAAATTTGCCCCGTTAATAGGGGTATTTTAAGCAATGGATATTTATACACATTTCAAGAATTAATAAGCTAAATAGATTATGCCAGATAATAATAAAAAAAATAATAAGGATTTAAAAAAAAAATTCTGAAGTTAGGACAAAAAAACTTAAGTGTTCCACTTTGTACACATTTTTCTCCAATTATTAATTTTTAGTTACACTTTTAATAAGTCAGGTGTATTATTTATTTAAAGAAAATAATTATTTATAAATCTAACTTAAAAATCATTTTTATTAGATTATTAATATAGACTATAGAACTGAATTAATAGATGTGTAGTGAATTAGACAATTGAAGAACATCTAAATAAAATATACAATAAATTATTATTTTACAGTAAATGGACTCTTGTTGATTTTTTATTTATCAATGAATTCTTAATTGACTGCAATCATAACATAAACTAAGAAATGTAAAAATTACAAACCTGGGAAATTTAATATTATTTGGAATTTTAAGAAATCTTTTGTATTTTGGACAAATCAGCACAATTTTAGTTATAAAGTATTAATTTGTAGCAAAAATGCACAACATGATTTATTTGAAGTAGATAGCACAGCTGTTGTACATTTATACGGAATAAATCAAACAAATTTGTGTGAATTAAAAAAAATAGTTAATGAAATAAATAGGAAATAGAAAGGGAAAAAAAAATAAAAGCATTACTAGTTTTAACTGAGCTTCTTTATTTGAAAGTTCTTGTTCTAGCTTTTCATTCAGATCATGCAATGAAGTGGATTCCCTTTGAGCATTTAGATATCTCTTTTCCAGAGTTGTGATTCGCTCCTCCTGGTCTTCTTTTTGTGCATTGTTCTGAAAAAAAAGAGAAGATAATACTGTTAAAGAGGCAAAAGCTTATACTTCATGCACGTTTTGCTACATAAGAGTAATACACATAAAAATGGACATGAGAACATGAAACAGTATGGAAATTAATTAACATTTTTTAAAAAATGTATTGTTTAAATATCGATTACTACTACTGAATCAGAAAAAAAGTTTTTTAGAACTAAGGATTAGCATTAATAGAAAACACAAGAATTGGATATATTTACAACATCTTTAGTCTATAATAGTATTTATAGCAATTGTGATTATTGCGTACTGGTAACAAACAATTCTTCCCATAAGCTGAGAAATATATTTAAATTTTATGAAATTTAGGTAGTAGATAAAAAAATAAACAATGAATGTTAATTAATTTAAATTTTTTAAAAACGTATTGCTTAAATATCGATTACTATTACAGAATCAGAAGAAAAAGTTATTTAGAACTAATGACTAGCACAAATAAAAAAAAACAAGAATTGGATATATTTACAACATCTTTAGTCTATAACAGTATTCAGCAATTGTGATCATTGCGTACTGGTAACAGCGTACTGGCTTGAAATATTAAATTATTGTATTTTATATAATATTATACACAGGCTATGGAAAGGTTAAGCAAGTTGTAAAACAACTAAATAATTTTTATTTTTTTGCAGTAATATCGCTTCTTTTTCAGCACTACAGCCTATCACAAGCCAAGACTTTCCACGAGTCTCCTCCATATGACTTTGGAGTCTGTGGGGGCAATGGAATGCCATTGGTTAACTGCCAGATCCCTAAGATCTCTCTCAATAGAATTAACCCACTTGGTAGGAGGCAAACCTCTTTATCATGTACCTTCTATTTTTGAAAAACCAGTAGTTTGACTCATTATATCGAAAAGGGTGCTCTAGCCGTCTAATGCGGCTAGCTTTTATAACTTTGATAACACCTGGTTCTTTAAATCTACAGTGAATTTCTATCGAAATTCCTGAAAAGTAGTAGTTTTTGATAAAAAATGCAGGTTTTTAATCAAAAATAGTTATTTTGCTTTTCATTCATAATGTATAGAATTAGTATGGAACAGAATCTATGTAAGGGGCTTTATTGTTGTATGAGAATTATTATGTGGAAATTTTTCATGACTTGTTCAATGCTCAAAGTATTCCTCAAGTATAAAAAAATTATGTTCTTTCATGTAGCCCTCACTTATAGTTTCAAACATTAATTTCAATTCTAAATTTTAATCTTTTTAAATTATTTTGTATTATAGGTAGTAGTATTTTGTATATTGTATGTAGTTATTGTATGTAGTTTTTGTATATTGTATGTAGTTTTTGTAAATTGTATTTTGTTAGATAAAAGCAATTTAAAAATTTTTTCTTTAAAAACAAAACTTGCATGTGTTCTAAGTTATTTTCACTAGACCAAAGTATTTCAATAATGAATTCAAAATAGCTTTAGTAGCTGATGAATTTAAAAAGTATTTGACAAAGTGATAAATTCTTATGCAAACAAAAAGTAAGAAAGGCTATTTTGTATCTCTCTCCTTTCTTTAATTTTGTTTTTTTATGTTTTATATATTTATTTTATTGTATGTTTCACATATATGTATCACATATTAATAATATCTTATATGTGCATATTTAATAATTAACCTATAAGCCATAAAAAGCTTTCTTTCATCAAAATTAACAACAACAGAAATAAATAGTTATATATAAACCAGTAGATATTTAGTTTTTAGCTGAAATAAGATCTTATGATAGAACAGATGAAAGTTAACACAGTATGTTTAATGAAAATTGGTATTTAAATATTAAAAGTGTAAAAACCATTTTGAAAAAAAAAAGCTTTTTAAAGCCATTATTTACAATAAAATAACAATACTAGGGAGCCCACAATAAATTTGGCCTGTTGTTTATAAATGCTGTGTCCAGCTTTGCAGTTAATAAATACAGAATAAAAATAGCGTAAAATAAAAAATTTCAATTACTTCACGTAAATCCCTAGATAGTTTTGAATTTTCTTGTTGAAGGCGAGTTACTTCTTTTTGTGCAGCAGACATATTCTCTTCAAGTTCTCTCATTTTACCACTGAAATCTAACAATTTGTTTCGGCCTAAAACAATTTCATTAGCTTGTTTTTCAACTATGTCTTGTAACTCAATGACTTTAGATGCCTCAACTTCAACATCAAGATTTCCATTTGCAATCTGAAACAATAATTAGCTTGTTCAAATAAAGAAAAAAACAAATAGTATTAAACAATTTTGAAAGGAAACAACTAAGGTGGCATAATTTTTTAACGTCACTTCAACTGATTTAATAAATATCTTAACAAATTAAAAAACAAAAAAATTTATAACATTTAAAAGTAGTTATACTTCGTAATTAAATTTAAAATTTTAAATATAACACATTACATTGATTTTGATAAAAATATGGAAAAGAAATCAAGCATAGAATTTTTATAAAATGTGTTTTTAAAAAATAATTTCATAAGTTCTGTTTTACTTATTTATTCCCAATATTAAGTGTCATGATTAAAAATACAAATATATAAAATTTCTAATGGCAAATTAGATTAGAAAAATAAAATGTTTGACCAATCAATTATTTTGTTTCAAAAGTAGACCTGAAAATAACCACTCCCCACATGGCAAGTCAACAAAAAAAAAAAGTGGCAACTTAGATAAACAACCGGTCACCTTTTGTAGTCTTTTTTTTTTGAAAATTGTTTAAGAATAAAAGTTCATCAATGCAAAAGAAAATTCTTTACAGTTAGTATGTTTAACTAAATTTTATTAATGTTATTTTTAAAAATATAATTTAATCAAAGAGAAAAAAAAAGGCTGTTTTCAGGCTATTTAATGGAACGGACTTGTCGATATTGGTCACTGACTGATTAGGTTTAAGGAAAAAGTGGCCACTAAGTTAACAGAATCTACCGGCTACTGGCTACTAACTGAAAATTAAAATTTTCAGGTCTATTCAAAAGTATAAAAAAAGTTTAGTTGAATAATTTTTAATAAAGCATTAGATTAGAAAATTAAGATTTTTGACTAACTAGTCATTTTTTTAGTTTTAATTTTATAACTAATCGAAAGAAATCTAATGACGTTTTTACGTTTAATTTTGTTTCTAAATTGACAATTAACATTAACCAGTTGTCAAACCTAGAGTGGCTCATACATACTAAAAAGTTAGCAAATTTTGTACGCAAAAATCTGACAATCAATTAAGCAATTAAATAAGTGTAAGCATAAATTAAAAACATTAAAAAATTCATATACTTAATTCTTATACTTATTAAAAAATTCTTATACTTTTTTTCTAATTCTTCCCCATTCAAACCTATAACATACCTTTGAATTATCATCGTTGTTATCACGCTTCAGTTTAAGGTCATCATGACGCCCAAATCCAAGAGACTTATACTGAGATAACTGGAAATAAAAATATTAATTAATACTTAATAATAGCAAAGAAAAGGAAGGAAGACACAAGTGAAAATAAATTTGTTATGATATTAATTTCATCAATTAAAATTTACCTCTTCTCTCTGCTGATTAACTATTTCTTCTAGAGCTGCCACTCTTTCAATTGCAACTCGAAGTTTTTCTCGAACCTAAAAAGACAATTAACATCATGAGAAGGCTTAACAATTTCCATTAGAAAAAGAGAATTTTGTATTATTTTTTTCCCTTTCCAATAATTAAACTAAATGATATCTTGAAAATATCAAAATTTTTGAATTGGTACTTTGTAACTTTGTTGTTGTTAAAAAGAATTAAAATTTATTTTGAAAATAAAAATGTTGAAGGTACCTTTTCATCGAGAGCTTTATGGTGCTCAAACAGAGACTTCAGAGCTTTAAGAACCTCGACTTCTGATGAGACACCGGCGGGTGACTGAGCTTGCCTTTTCACCACAGTCATCCTTAGGGACCGTTCGTGACGAGACACCAGGCACTCGAGATGTTCCAGAAGAAGCTGTTCAAAAAAGAAAATAAACCTCAATCAAAACCAATAAAATGTTTAAATATGCCAAAATGACTGAAAAAAAATCAAATGTTAATAAATCCAGAGGTTCCAACTTTTTAAGCTAGGTGTCAGTAATCAATCAGAAGTACAGCACACAAAAAAAAAAATTAATGGTCCACCCTAAATAACTTTTGATCTAATGATTGGATCCTCAGGTTCTAGGGCACAGCCTTAATGGTTCGAGGTGGAGGACCTCAAATATGCGAATTAAATAGTGCACACAATATTTTAAGCTACGAAATCAGGCACTAAACGCGCTTTCTCTGAAAACACTTTTTTATGACCGATTCAGATTTCTGACCCACAAAATATAGGGAGTAGCTGCAAGCTGGAAAATATGATCCCCATACTTTGGCCAAGAAAGCAATTCAAAGCTTGGACCCCTTGATGTTAATTTTACTTTACGTTATTTTTTTTTAACATATTTTGCCATATCTAGGGAAAGAGAAATTTTAAGCAAATTGAAAAATATTTGCACACAATTAAAAAATTCATATGTCTAAAGATAAATCCTGGCAAAAAATAACTATTAGTAAATATTTATTATTTTTTATAATTTCATTCATTAAATAATCGAAAAGATTTTGAATTGTTCAGTATGCAATTTTATACATCCATTTTAAAGAATATAATTTTACATAGAAAAATACAAATTTTGAGCGAAATCGGTAGAATAGTACTTGAGATATCGAAATTTAAAAAAAGTCGTATTTTTAAAATTCGATTCTGCTCCTCTGACCAAATACTACCCTGCAAAATACTGACTGTATAATAATAAAAATACAGTATTTTTCGCTTGATGTGATCGCTGGTATTGTTACTGACCGCTAAGTGTTATCAAAACCACTCGGTCCGGATATCCTCCTTTCATTTGTATGTTAATTTATCGCCATCTGTGTTCATTACATCGTTTAAAAAGTAATTTTATTTATTTTTTAGAAAATTATCATAACTGCCAGAGAAATATTCACTGTGTATTCAGAAGAAATTTGCTTTTTTATTGCCCTGAGCTATTGTTTGAATATCCAAGCAGCTTCCATCTTAACTGTATCAGAAGTTTGTTAGATTGTTATGGGAAAAAGACGGATGATGAAACTGAGGAGTCAGATTTTGTTGAGTCACACCTTACAAATGTTGAATACAGTGAAAAAGTAGGAACTTCAGAGTAGAGTAAACCAACCAGTGAAGGAACACTATCCAGTGAAGGAACATTTCATATATATTGATTAAAAATAAGAATTTGAAAGTGTTTTTTTTTAGATTGATTGGTAACAATAGCTTACTGCCAAACAATAGGAAGTCATCTAGCAATATTTTGGATTACCTGGTCAAATAGACATCTCTGGAAAAATTTTTGCATCTGTTATTATCTCTGCAACACCTTGTTTCGTTGAAAAAATTACAAGGTGATTGTTTGTATTTATATGTTTGAAGCGGAATTAATTGCATGTAGTAGTCTTATTTTTCTCACTGTGAAAAAGGGAATTCAAAATATAGTTATTGAAGTTACGTTTTATTTTTTTTAAAGAACCATAGCATAATAAAGTACTGAGATAAGGGGTGTTTATTCACTGGATCACCAAACGATGAAAAACCAGTGAAGGAACAAGTGTTCCTTTCTTATTTTTTTTTCTTTTTTGCTCATTGATTGCTTTTTGTAATTTACATTCATAGGAAATTTCCAACTTTTAATGAGAAAAATTTCATATGAATTAGATAAAACCATTTTTAACAAATCATTTTTGTTAAAACCATTTTTATAGGAAATATGGCTGATTTATATTATTTTTATAAAAATGAAGCAAAATTAAAAATTTTAAAATTATTTAAAATAGACAATAATATGATTGATTCAAAAGTTTTTTTTTAATCGAATCAAAATAAGTGGAATGTCTAAATAAGTGGAAATCAAAAGTGAGTAGAGTGAGATTAGTGATGACGCGAAATAAAGAAACATCTAAATAATTTATATTCAATGAAATAAGTGAAATATGTAATAAGTATGACTCTACACATTATAGACAACCGCGACATATTAAATACATACAGAATAAAAATACAGGACAACTTGATAATTATTGATCGAATGATAAGATATTAATATGTTAAGATGTAATCCTAATGTTCCTAACTCTTGAACAGAGCTATTTGAAATACTCTCATTCATTTGTTACAATGAGATTTTAAGCCATAAAGTCGGTCACGAAAATTGTCTTCCATCTCTAAACATGCCCTGTTAAATTAATTTAGATATTGTACCTTAATGTGGTTGTAGATGCAATCTGAAAAATATGATACTAATATTTCAGCAAAAAAAAGTCGTTAAAAAAATGTTTCATCTTAGTTTATTTTACTTTTCGCATATTTCTTTATTTCACTGGAAGGATGCTTACGCAATAGTTTATTTGCACAAATCAATTTTTAGGATAATTTATATATTTAAAATATAAATTATCCCAAATAAATACATTTAATATGAAAAAGAAATTATGTATAATTAATAAAAAAAATTTATATTTATCGAGATTTTTATTTATTTTTTAACTAGCTGAACATACGTTCCTCGTAAGTAGTGAAAAGAGAATAATACGGTAAAACATTTTTAAGTATAAAAACTATTAACGAAATGTAAATCATAAATTAANTGTTATAACATACAAGTACTTGTATGTTATAATTTCACAAATAGTCTTGTTTTTATATATTTGTATGGCTAAAAAATTCATAAAGAGCATTAAAAAATAACCAAAATTAAGTGTTCCTTTACTGGGCAATTTTGTGTTCCTTCACTGGTAAGAGCTGTTCCTTCACTGGGTTTTCTTACTACTCGTTATTTGAACCTCCAAAACTTCAAAACAATATTATGTAAGTTCTCTACAATTTTTTTGCATAATTTCCAATTAGTAACAAATATGTTGACACTGTCATTTAACTGAAATTACGAATTTTGAAATTAATATGATTTTTTAAAAGGCAAGCGAAGCTTAAGTGTTCCTTCACTGGTTAGTTTACCCTACAACACCGATGTGATTTCTTTGAAAAAATTATAATAACGAACAATTTAGAAATGAGCTTCTTAAAATGAATTGTAGACAATCAATAATAGATGCTTTTTTTAAAATTTTTTTTTAAAAATTAATCATTGGTTTAATGTTTTAATAGAAATATGCCTTACATAAAACGGTGCGTTTCCCCCCCCCTTTCATTTTCAAATTCAGTATGGTATAAATTGCTAAATTTATCTAATTTCGTGATTCGTTTTATCTTTTGACGCAGATGGGATACCGGTGTTCCTTTTCTACAAAGTTTTTCTGACGCTATAATTACAAGCAAAAATATATTTCAGTACTTTTTAATTATAAAAAAAACAGTCTTTTATTTACTAAAAAATTCTGTTTACCGAAATTTGTAAAAAAAATATTTTTCACTTAAGATTTAAAAAAATTATTAATAAAATTTTATATAAAAAAAAATTCAATAAAGAATAACTGTTTCTCTTAAACCTAAAAAAGTTATTGTTTGAAAGTGAGCCGTGTTAGGAAGATTTCTCCTTTAATGCAGAAAAAGACACCGGTGTTTCATACTGTATTTCATAACCATAAATTTTTCAAATGCTAAATGTAACATTTTTCATTTATTTTGATCTAAATTATTACAATATAATGAAAAAAGTATAAAAAATATGCTTAACAAAATTTCTGCCTCAAAGGGTAAATGTTATCAAAATCGTTGTGTCCTCCAAATGATTACATTAAACAGAGACAACTATATAATATATAGTTAGCGTTTACGAAATTCAAATTAGTGCAATTCTAAGGTGCATATACTACTTAATTCTATAGAAGTACATATTATTAATAAAATTACATATTTATTTACTATTAAATAATAAAAAAAAGTTACACTTGGATGAGGGTGTAAAATAAAAAATTATACAACACTGAAATTTAATAAATCATTATAAAATGATAAAATTAGATTGAATACTTGAAATCAATGTTTAAGTTTTTCGGTTAAAATAGAACTTGTATTACTGCGTTATCATACAGCTTTTGAACCACTAAAAATTTTTGCTCATAGCATTTCTGTTTTGAGTTCTTTTGCTTTTCTAAAAGGAGAGAGAGAATTGTTTCATAATAGCTAGTTTGAAGAGGGAAACATGAGATTTTTTGCCTTTTTTTATTTCGTGTTTCCATTAAGGCATGCTTTTTTTTATTGTTTTTAAAATTGTTTAAGTTGTAGAAAAAAAATCATAGATTAGAAACAAAAAATAAAATTTTATAACTCCTGGTAGTTAAGGGGGAAAATTTATTTTAAAAAGATTATTATGGAAATTCTTAAAAAACCGCTATAACTAAACTCCACTATAATTTTGATTATGAAATCGTAATAATTACGGATGAATCGTAGCAGTTCGCACCTCTGTGAATGATCAAGTAGAACGCGAATAGTCCATAACTGCGCTTCTCTGCGGAAACACTTTATGAAAGGAAAAACAACATTTACAGAACATTTTTGTTGCCCGCAGTCGTTTCATTACTAATTTCTTTATAGGAAACCTTGCATCATTGAAATGTTAGAAATTAAACAAAACTATAATCGACAACGTATTCTTAAATATGTTTAGAAAAGTATAATCTCACACAGTTTAAATTTTGAAGAAAGAGACAGTTTTTCAATTCAAATAAACAAAAGAGAAATTTCAAATGTGATAAATCCAGAAATGCGCGTCGCTGCGGAAATAATTACGTATTAACAAGAAATAATTACTTACATTATTATTATAGTTACTTATTAACAACATTTACCGAACGTTTTTGCCATTCAAAACATATACATTATTCTCCTCATAGGAAGGCCTGCATCTATAAGTTAACAAAGAAACTTATATGTTAGATAAAAAGATATTCGACAATGTATTAATATGTTTAGGAATGTATGTTCTTATAGAATTTAAATTTTGAAGAGACAGATATGAATCAAAATATATGGAACGTGAAATTTCTCAAGCGAGTTTCGAGAAATGCGCTTCCTTACAAAAATACTTAAAATACAAAAACATACTTCGCTTGCGTGTATAAAAAAGGACATTGTTTACTCCCTATCTTTGTTTATTTCTGTTACTCAAGTTAGGTTTGGCCTATATACAAGCAAAAATACATTATTAAACGTTATTTCGCTTTAGTTTTTAACACTATCATAATAAACTTTTTAAAGGCTTTTTGTTGTTAGTGAGTAAACCATCGTTTCCCTATTACGCTAAAGCATAAAAAAACAACATAGTTTTGTGTTTCAGCCGGTTTATTCTGATAATATTTTTGTCTCTTTTTTATAATCTAGACTCTAGCTAATATTTTATAAATATTACTTAGTTAAAGTCACCGATGCACTGTTAGATTCATGCATATTTTTTGCTTCAGTTATCTTCACTTCCTTCGTAATGTATAGTGTAAATTTTTTTAAAACCTTTTCATTGGAGAACGAAAGATGTTTGAAAACGCCGATAATTAACAAATAAGATAACCGAAGCTACTGCAATAAATGTTGCCTTATTGTCATCGATTACTACGTCTGAAATAGCTAACGCACAATTCGATGATTTATAAATTCTTTCTTTCTTTGAATTTTTCTAGAATTTTAAAATTTTTCTAGTAGACAATTAAGATCAGGCTTATCATAAAAATAAAGCCAAAATTTAGTCAATTTAAAAAGTAAATCTATGATAACAGCGATAGAATTAAAGGAAAATTTCTAAATTGAAGAAGGAATTGCTGCTCTAGAAAAAAAAATAAAAATACATGAATATTTTTTAAAAGAAATCAGAGAAAAATAGTAGGAAACATTCAGATTGGTGACAAATACATACTCGGGTATTGTTCCGCTCAGCTTTGAGCTCTTGGATTTCTTCCTCTTTTTCTAGCAGCAACTCGCGGGATTGGTTAAGTTCTTTAGTGATAGATGAAAATTCCTAAAAAATACAAATAAGGGAAGACTAAATAAGATGATGCATACATTACATATTTTTTTTATTACAGTAAAATCTGCGAAAGTTGCGTCATGCATTGCGTTAGTGGTCAATTTAAATAAAAAACCAGCTTTGAGAGGAAATTAGTCATTTTTTTAAAACTTATCCTATATCATGTTATTCTTATAATCACCGTATTATTCATCTATCTCGAATATGTAGATGCAATCAAAATAAAAATAAATGTGATAGATGTTTCGGATTTTATATTTTAGTACAAATATAATCCTGACAACACAATCTAGTATATTTTTTAGTAACTATTAGACTGTTCTTTATAATTAAAAAAATACCAAAAATATATTTCTTCAAATAATTTAGAGCACCAGGAAAAAAATAGATAAAAGAGGCACCGGTGTTCCTAAGAAATACAATTTAGGTAAGACTAAATTAGATGATGCATACATTACATATTTTTTTATTACAATAAAACCTGTGAAAGTTGCGTTAGTGGTAAACTTAAAAAGGAAATCAGCTTTGAGAGGAAATGAGTCATTTTTTAAAAACTTATCCTATATCATGTTATTCTTATAAGCACCGTATTATTCATATATCTCGAATATGTAGATGCAATAAAAATAAACGTGATAGATGTTTTAGATTTTATATTTTAGTACAAATATAATCCTGATAACACAATCTAGTATATTTTTTCACTAATAATTTAGAGCACCAGGAAAAAAATAGATAAAATAGGCACCGGTGTCCCATCAGAGTCAAACTGTTAACTACAAACAATTTGTATTACCCAAATAAGCAATTTACCAAAAATAAAATAGTCAAGACAAATAAGAAATACTATTTATTACACTATCTTTAAATTCCAAACCAATTGGAATAAAAATAAACGTGATAGATGTAATGGATTTTATACTTCAGTACAAATATAATCCTGACAACACAATCTAGTATATTTTTTTTAGTAACTATTACACTGTTTTTTATAATTTAAAAAAATATCAAAATATATTTTTACTAATAATTACAGCACCACGAAAAAAATATTAGATAAAAGAGGCACCGGTGTCCCATCTGCGTCAAACTGCTAACTACAAACAATTTGCATTACCCAAATGAGCATTTTACCAAAAATAAAATAGCCAAGACAAATAAGAAATACTATTTATTACACTATCTTTAAATTCCAAACCAATTGGAAAACGGTTCGGGTAGATTTTCGCAAATGAGATGCGCATTTAAGACGATCATAGCTGAGAATCAGCGAAAGTGGGAATTCAATCAGGTATTGCGCAAAAGAGGATCTCAGGGAAAAAGCAAGATGAAGGCGCTACACGAAAATCACGTATCTTGCAGTGAAACTAATTCGCCGGAGGACTCTCCCGTAGTAGCTCCCTAAACTCCCGTTAGGAAGAGGGATCATTTTTCATATAGCGAGGAAGAAGAGGGAAAAAGTGCCCTATTTCCCCCGTCTTTCCCTTAGGCTCTTTTTCTTAGGTATTTCCAGGCTCATGCAATATGTAGTTTCATGAGTTTTGATGGTACGAGGCCAGGCCAACCCTACGGCCTTCCGGGGTGGTTATCAATATATTATGGAGTTGAAATAATTGCTGAATTTGAAAAGGTATCATGTGTTTTGTGGTTAAGTATTGTAAAAAAGATGGATTTCTTACATAGCAAGAAGACAGTCCTTAATTGAAAAAGGTAAATTTTTTCTCTTCCGAAAACAGTTTAGAATTTGCTGATCAACCTGCAGATAAAGAATCACATTTCGCAATTTTTTTTTTAATACAATTCATCAAATTTAATATATATTTCTTGTAGTTATATAAAAAATAAAAGCTGCTTGGAAAAATATCTAATAACCTTTTCTGTTATTTTCCTTAAAACTAAAAATATTTTATCCCTTTTTTGAAACTCTATTTCAGCTTTGACAGCATTAGCAATGGAAAGAAAATAGTTGTCAAGCAGTTTTTTTCGAAATCTATCGTGAAGCACTTACGTTATTTTTTCAGTAGTCAAATTTTCCTTTTGTAACGTAGCAAAGTTAACTTCTAACCGAGCGTAAAGCTAAAACGTAAATATTTTTCATAAAAGGCCTTATTTTTACTCTGAATTTAAACAGAAACTAGTTCTTTAGCGTGCTAAGAGGTATACCCTTGCTCAAACTTACACAAAGCAGAGCTTGTTACGTAACAGAACCGGTTGAACTTTTTCCCTTGCTTTGGAGATCACTTTACTTATAACATTAAAATATAAACAGTTAAGAGACTCTTCCCAGTTCGCATTGTGCATACATAATGAAACATAACTTATAAACAGTATTTCAAACCTTAAAACTCTTTCCCCTTAATTTGCCACTGATGTTAATACACTGGTTATCATAAATTAAGGAAAAATCACAAAAATAGCGATAACTCTTTCAAAAGTAAGCCAAACCGTGCAAAATTTGCATATGTTGTCCACTAAGAGTAGCTGAGTAAAATTGCAATATGCAAATTAGTGGCGCTGCACTCGGCTTACGTCATCTGCCTGGAGCATAAAAGTCCAAGTTTGAGAGAAAGCACACAAATTTTACTGTGATTGCGACATTGAAAATCTGAGATAGCCAATTCGTAATAATGACCTCTAGGCATCATTTGCCTGAAGAACTACGATGGAGAGCCATCGGGAGACTAGAGGCAGGGCAGAGTCAATCAGAAGTGGCCAGATGGCTAAATGTGAGTCCATCTGTGGTTCATAGACTTTGGAGGCAATTTCAAACCACAGATTCGGCATCTAGGAGGTTCAGTCAAGGACGGCCAACTGTTACGACCAGTGCCGATGACCGATATTTGACATTAAGTGCACGCAGGAATAGAACCGCTACTCCGACACATCTTAGATCCTCTCTTGCTGCAGCCACCGGAAGGTTGGTGTCAACGTCAACTGTGCGCAGAAGGCTCCACGAAGGTGGTCTGTATGCGAGACGACCAGCCATTTGCGTGCCGCTCACATCACGCCATAGGAGAGACCGTTTGCAGTGGGCCCGACAACATGTCCACTGGACGTCAGATCAATGGAGGCCTGTTCTCTTTACGGATGAGTCCAGGTTTAGTCTAGAAAGTGACAGTAGACGTTATTTGATATGGAGAGAACCTGGGACCCGTTATCATCCATCAAACATCCGTGAAAGAGATGCATACGGAAGAGGCAGTGTCTGTGTTTGGGGAGGCATATCCTTAGGAGGGCGCACATACCTCCATGTCTTTCCAAGGGGAACCGTGAATGCTCAGGTTTATCGAGACAACATCCTTGATGCTTATGTGCGCCCATATGCCGGGGCAATTGGTGATTGCTTCCTGTTACAGGACGATAATGCAAGACCACACAGAGCTCGCATTGTTGATGATTATCTTCAACAGGAAACAATTACTCGCATGGAGTGGCCAGCTCGATCCCCGGACTTGAATCCTATCGAGCACGTTTGGGATGCTCTAGGGAGGCGTGTATCTGCCATCAATCCGCCCCCTCAGACCCTTGCCACGCTTGCAACTGCTTTACAAGAGCAATGGCTCTCACTTCCTATTGAACTGATAGACCGCATAATTGAAAGCATCACACATCGCTGTTTGTGCTGTATTGCTTCTAGAGGCAATCATATTCCATATTAAAGGTACTTTTTCTATTGCAAACCGATACTTCCAATTTGTTTATTTTATACATGTGCTAATTTCTATACTACTATTAATGTCTGATAATTTCTTTTTATGTTGTTTAATACCTTACTATGTGTTGTATATTGTGGGTAAGTTTCATAAAATTCCATGTGTAATTTCTTGAGTTATCGCGATTTTTGTGAATTTTCCTTAATTTATGATAACCAGTGTATAACACAAGTACCAAACACAATTTAACAATGGAAAAACATATTCATTTTTACATGAATTCCTTTTCAATTATTTGTAGAATATTTTGATAAAAATAGGAAGGATTAAAAACAAAAAAATAATAATTCCGAAGTGGCATAATTTAGTAATATTTTTATTGTAAATGCACAGGCAAAATATATAAGAATTGATTTCATACAGTTTAAGAATTAAGAAAGCAAACGAACTGCTAGTACCTACTATAAAAAATATAATTGCCCTCCTAATCTATCTATCTTTTTTTCTATCACCATCTATCCTTTAAAGAAAAAAAAAAAAAAAAAAAAAAAAAAAAAACCTCTCAATAAATTNAAAAAAAAAAAAAAAAAAAAAAAAAAAAAAAAACACTAAAGAAAGATTTGCTGTCCTTCTTCGACGTCATAACAGAACGTGACTATTTCTTTTGTTCCAGTCTTTCTCCTCCATTGAAAACAAACAATTATTATTATAATTTTTTTTAAAAAAAAAGACGAAAAATGATGTACTTCTACCCGAAGTTGAAACAACCTCCGCTAATACTGCCCCTAGCATTGAGAACCCGAAACATGGTTGAGAATAAAGTCAAATGGTAGACGGATCATGGGTTAGAATCCTCTTGCCATCGGGCTAACAATGGGTGGTTTTGCGGCTTCCCTCTCCATGCATCGCAAATGCGGGTTAGTTCCATCAGAAAGTCCTCCACAAAGACTAGTTTACCCCAATGCTTGATCCAGGAGTTCCCTTGTCTTTTCGGTTCGGTTTAAAATTACAAGATTATGGAGTTGAACATTGATGGTCGTAAACCCAAAATTGGGTCGGCTGTTCAACGTCGGTTATAAAATTAAAAAAAAAATTCGATTTTTGTTTTAAGATTTCATCGTTTAAATAAATCATGTTACTAATAACATGAACGTAATTTTTTTTAAAAATCAATGTAATGTAGTGAACTTAAAGATACACTTCTCTTAAGGATGACATTACTATCATAAAAATTTTGTTTTTAAAAAAGTTCCCGATACAAAACAGAAATAAAGCAAAATAAAATTGAGAAAAAAAAAAAGGTTCGGCACAGGGTAAGTTTGTTAATGGCGGAAAAAA